GTTACTTTTAGCAAGTTTAGAAAAGAAGCAGATGAGACAGCATGTCTGATAATTTAGTTTTTCATCTGATAATATTAGAACATGTCAGTAATGTCCGAGGAGCTTTTATAAACACTGTATAACTAACACTCCTGGAGAGGGTATGGATTACACAGAGGCTTCTGGGGAGCCCCGTTATGGGGTGGTGGTGTGTGTGTGTGTGTGTGTGGGGGGGGGGGGGGGGGGGGGCATTTTGCCTTGGCCCCCAAAATGTCTTGAAACGGCCCTGGGTGTGTGACTGAGTTTTGAAGGTGATCTGAATTGTATCAGATGTATAAATATTACATGTGTATAACTTATTGTTTTATACAGGTAAAAATGTGTAGTGGAGATAAATCTACCTACATTTTACTTTTCAACACTTTGTTTTGTTTTTATTGAACTATTTTCCTGTCCTGTCTGTCTCTCATCTTCCTGCATCTCCTCTAAACTCTCCAGAAAAACTGCTGCCTGGATTATTACTTTTTCACCTCATCAGTTACTTTTGAGCAGATCAAAGGGATCTCCTGACCGCAAAGTGGAGTGCGCGTTTCGATGCTGCATCAGTGAGGTGAAATCACCGCAGCACAGGTGATGAGCTCCGCAGCAGAGTGCTTCAGGCACAGATAAGACAGAAAGTAGAGAACATGTGCGGACAAGATCGATCGTGTGTTAATTATAGTTTTTTGGTTGCGCCACTTTGAGAATGGACCGTGCGCTGGAAGCAGCCGCCTGGAGCGCTGCGCAAAAACGCGCTGTGCCGCTCTCTGCTCAGAAGAGTCCATAAATGAAGTAATATAAGTAGAAAACTTTTTTCCGGCTCCCCGGATGTGTAGGATATACAGCTCCCCCATAATTCGATCCCTGCTCCTGGATGAAAAGCCGGACATTTTCATCAAAACAATACCCCCAGTCCGGACGTCCCGGACAGAGTGAAAAGTGGACACGGTCCATCTCTACTTTTTGTGGTGTTTTCTCTCTGTAAACATGCTGTTAACTTGCTTTGCACATCTTCTAATTGAAATCTGTCTTTATCATATATATTTTATTGTTTCATAAGTTTGCGTTTGGTGCCCCTCCCCCGGCGTGGTGCCCTACGCGCTGTGCGTGGTGTGCGTGTGCGGAGCGCCGGCGCTGGTACCATACCATACAACTTTGTTTAAAAAGCATGTTTCAAAACAGCATGCAAGCTGACCAAAGCACTACACAGTCAATAACCATACGAAGATCAATCAAAAGTGGATAAAAACAGTCAATAAATACAGATTAAAACAACCAATAAAAATATCAAAGGAAATGGAAAAAAAAACATTAAAAGGAGTCACTGCCCAATAGCCAAATCATAGTAGTTCATTCGTAACTTGAAGACAGCAAAGGGTCATGGCTGTCAAATTGTGATGGGTAGTGCATGCTAAAGGACAGTGAAAGCATGCTCAAAGGACTGCTCCCCCCTTGCTTTATAATTCATGGTTGGAGTGCAGAGTAGCAAGCGGTCAGCTGACTTCAGTGAGCGCACCGGCATATAGGTGAGACAGGTAGGATGGTGCAAGACCGTTCAATGCTTTAAATACAAAGAGCAGGATCTTAAATCGCACCCTGAACGTCATGGGTAACCAATTGAGATGTACCGGAACCAGGGTGATATGGCTTCTATTTGTGTTAAGAACTTTGCAGCAGTGTTCTGTACCATCTGCAGCAAGTTCAGGCCTAAAGCAAGGGTGCCAATGAGAAGTGAAATTGCATAGTCCAAGCAAGAAGTGATAAAGGTGTGAATTACAGATTCTAAATGGGACTGTTTTAGAATATGCTTCAGGCGTGTTAGATGGTGTAGTTGAAAGAAACATGATTTCACAACCGCATTTATCTGAGGTACCATTGAAAATCCAGCATCCAATTTCACCCTAAGGCAGGTGACACACTGTTTAAGGTCACAACTTGGAAGATTTTGGACAGACAATGTGCAAGAGAGGTTTCTAGGATCGAAAAGAATCAACTCAGTCTTTGACCCATTAACTATGAATGATACGACAAATGTCCAGCACTTGTATAACACCTTTCAAAGTCAGAGTACTCGAAACGACTTTACACTGCAGTGTATCATTCATCCATTCACACAAACATTCACACACTGATGGTGATGAGCTACAGTGTAGCCACAGCTGCTCTGGGGCACAATGACTGAGTCAAGGCTGTCGAGCACAGGCACCATCAGTCCCTCCGATCACTACCAGCAGGCAAGGTGGGTTAAAGGTCTTGCCCAAGGACACAATAGGAGAATTCTCTGTCCAGAGCCTGGATCGAATCTGCAACTTTCCAATTACTGGACAATCCATTCAACCTTCTGAGCTACTGCTGCCCCAATTTACCCCACCATAAGAATGTTTGCAGCGAACCACCCCTTCACATCTGCGAGACAGTCTGCGATTAGTAAATCCGCGTTTGGCCCTTTCATCGCCAGATATATCTGACTATCATCAGCGTAAATTGGAGGGGCCCTAGGGCACAACCCTGTGGCACTCCCAGTTCAACGGAAGACAGTGGGAGGCACAGTCACCCATCTGCACGCTGAAAGATCTATTTGCCAAATATGAGCGGAACCAGTCCAGTATATTTATTTAATTTATTTTACATTGAGAGGCGCTATATAAAAGATTCTTTCTATAGTACCCGAACTCTAGATGAACCAACAGGGTTTGGTCGTCGACTGTGTCAAAGGCCGCAGAAATATCTAACAACAGCAGCAGTACATGGGACTCTGAATCTGATGAAACCAAAATATCACTGAGCACACAAATCAGAGCAGACTCAGTGCTGTGGTGGGGTCTGAAAACAAATTGAAACAAGTCCAACAGTGAATTTGTCTCCATGTGAGTTATAATTTGTGAATGGACAGTTTTCTCCAGGACCTTCAACAGGAAAAGAACTTTTGTAGTTGGGCGCAAGTTATCAAAGTTGGAACGGTCCAGACAAGGCTTCTTCAAAATCAGCTGTTATTTGAAGGCCATAAGGAACACGCCAGTCGAAAGACAAAGTTCAAAATGGCTGGACCAAGGACAGAAGCAAGATCGCGCACCAACTTAGGTGGCAGAGAGTCTTCAAGTCAACTTGCTGGTTTCACAGATTTAATCAGTTTCTCATGGTCCATGGAGATGAGCATGAGCACATTTGAAGAGAGTAGGCAGAGTTGATGGTTCCACGACGCAAAATTCCACCAAGCCTAATTTATACTTCTTCATCTGCGTCTGGACGGAGACACATAACGCTATTATGCATCAGCGCAAGAGCCCTCCGACTGGCTCGCAGAGGGTGACGGAGACATGCCCCAATTTTTTAACTGTCCATCAAAAGAGACAGAGACCGCAGGCTTGTGATTGGTCAGGATGCCGCCTCCTGTAAATTTGTCAACGTCAGCGTCTTTGCCGCTTCAAAAAATAAAGAGATATTTAGTGGCAGAGACAGAACTGATTGAAGAACGCATCACTGAAAAAGTCTGAAAATAGGAACGTTTATTCACCCGTGATTGAAGTAGTACCAAGATACAAAGCTAGCGTTTAATTCGTGGACAGAAAAGATGAATAACGTGAGTTTAGAGGTGCTGATCACATAAAAAGATGGAGAGGAATGAGGGACAAATTTATCCTTGTAAAAAGTCTCTGAAATACATTAAAACAATGTAAACACAATAGTAGATACACCATCATGGACTGGATATGTGACCGTAATAGTGGCAGGATACCTCAGAATAGCGCTACGCCCCCTCTGTTGTCTTAGCAGGGAATTGCTTTGCAACAGGCCTCAGCTGACGAAGAAGTCCGAAAGCAAAACGCCTATGTCAGTGCGTGTGCTTCTCTCCCTCACAGAGCTGACGGAGAAACGTAAATTAGGCTTAAGCTTCAGATCAACCTTGTGAAAAAATAGCTCTGGAGCTCAGCACACAGAGAAACGGATGGGGTCAAACCATCTGATGTAGCTAACAACAATATGGAGTTTATGGTACCATACAGTTTAGCCTGATCCCCTTGATGCTGCATAATGATGTCAGAAAAGTATTTATTGAGTGCAAACATCCATAAAAACGTATTATTTTACCTTTTTGACCTGTTGTTGGCACCTGTTGTTGGCACAAGTCTTCAGAATTTTTTTTTCTTCCTTACCCGCGGGCAGCTCTCTGTGCTGCTGGCTGTTCGTTGAAACATAAAAATCCACAGGCGTGACCATCAGGGCCTTCTGCTGTTTGTGATTTGAAATTTTTTTCAATTAAACTAAATTTTTTTCATTTATTGACTTTGCTTGAGGTTGAACTTTTAGGATTTTCTGTCTGACGTCATTATTTTCCTGTCAGGACGGCAGAACTCCTGATGGGTGGTTACCATGGTGACACAGTCACATTTTCTAGAATACATAAAACATAACAATAAACAGGCCCAGGTAACTGGATTTTAAAAGGATTGGAGTAGGATTGGTCAAATACGTAATCCTGATGGGCCCAGAAAGACAAATGATATGGCGAATGTGGCATAAATCAAACATGATCACCTTTTAGTAGAATTTAAAGGTAATAAAAGCTTCCATATTACCTTGAAATTGCTTATACAAACATAAGCAGACTGTTTGGCTCATTAGCATCTTTATTTGCAGAAAAAATGTGTTTGCTTGGATCCCATTAAAGAAAGAAATGGCCTAATTTCACTAACGTTTCTGTGATTTATGTCTTCAAGGTTACACATAGATTTATTTGTGGGCATGTAGAAGACGTGAAGGTAAAGAAGCTCCAGCAGGGTTGTTTTCTGCAGAGCTCGGCACCTGAAGGCATCAGAGCCATTACACACAACAAGCTAGCACTGATTGGCCACATTCAGCTGCTACATTCATTGAATGAGCTTCCATCCTCTAAGATGTCCTTTATAGTGTCTTCTCTGACCCGTCTCAGCATCAGGTTTAGCTGAGTCAGGGTTTAAGCTGACTCTATCTCTTCTCCACAGCAAAACCCCAAACCTCTCTGAGGCAGCCGAGCCACCGGGGACGAGGCGGAGGTAGAGGAGGAGGTTGTGGTCGTGCGTCGGCACATGGAGACTTCAGACAGACCAGAGACATAAGGGATGGCCCGACAGATAGCAGGACTGGGGGACATCCAAACAAGCTCTCCAGGCAGCACACTCCCGTAAAGAAAGGCAACCTACCAGCAGAGAAGTGAGCGCAGATTCTGATGCAGTCATGGGAAACAAAGGTTTCTGAAGGCATTCCATTGATTTAATCTGGTTTTAATTTCAGATTTAACTGGTGACTATGAGCTTAAACAAACTACAGGGCTCATTAACATGATGACTGCTGTGTTACAAAATAACCAACAATTAATCAGGAAATCCAATCCAATCCAATTTTATTTATAAAGCGCATTCAACATGGCATTACACCCAAACAAGGTGCTGTACACCAAAAATGTTAGTGAATTTAAACCGTGTTATACAATCATGTTGGACGAACACAGGTAAAAGATAAAAAAGAAATGCAGCAAAATCACCAAAACTAACAGCTAAAAATCAATAAGACACAGGAAGATTAAAAAATTAGAAAAACATTTTAAGAAGAACCTCAATAGTAAGGAAGTTGATATTGTGAATTCCATTTTTAAACAAATGTTAATATTGGTGAGGTTCATAATTATGAGGTAAAGTATTATGAGGAAAGTAGAAATAAGCAGAATCAGTCCACCTAAACATTAAAACAAGGACATGTGAACTATTTTATTCCAACCAACAAGACTGCAAACGAGCACTGGTGTATTTCATGGAAACTCTGTTTTACTGATATTGCTCCTCCTGGTTAGTTATAAAGGTTTTTCCCTCTTATTTACAGCTAATTCTAATATTTTTGTGGGTTCTTTTTTTTTACTTCACCTTAACAAAAACTGGCCATTTCTATCTAAAAAGTGATGAGTCTTTGTGAAAGATCCTCCGTTTTCTCATGAGCCCTTTCCTTTATAATAGACTAAATTATTTATACCTAACTTGTAGGGATTTGTTTGTTTTTGGATGCTTTCAGTTAATTTATTTGTAAATAATTCTGCATTAAAGAAAAATGAGTTTTTCTCTTGCTGAATCATACGTAACCTTTATAATAATCTTAAGAGTGGTTTACCAGGTGTGGTTGTTCTACCAGTCGGTCAGAGCTCTAAAACTGTTCCTGTTACACAACCAGGTTTGTTAAAGTTGTCCCAGTTTCCTGACTTCCTTTAGCAGAAGGCTCACCTCTTTGTATCCTGATTTTTAAGCATGGCCTGTTTTACGTTTGTGGGATTAAATCGCCAGAGAGAAGGAAAGAGAAGGCAGATTTTTCTTTAACATCTTTGCTAAGTTTGTTCTGCGTTGGTAATCCAGTTCCATTATTTGGTTCTTTTCTGAACACAGAGTACTAGATTTGTTATTCATCTTCTTGATGACAAGTTTCAGCTACATCTGTAGCATTCTGCAGAGCGTTGCTTCATCAGCGACGAGTGTTCAGAAAACAACCAAACAATGGGATTGGATGACAGATTTATTTTCTTTTTTAGTTGCCATGCTCTTTAGGGCACATTTTTTTCTCTCGTTTAACTTCCTGCTGCTGAATGGCGCCCTGATTGAATGCCTCCCGGATTTTGCTCACTCAGCGTTGAGCTGACGATGAGTTTTCTGATTCCAGTTCTCTCTCCGTCTGCAGCCCCTCTGCAGTCACTCGTCCCATTTAGGTTTATAAACTCTAAACTCTTCATCCTGTCATCCACCCACTGCAGGCAAGTGTCAGAGTTAAACCAGACTAATCTGATCTCTTCCAGAATAAATCTAACTGCTCCGTTTGTCCTTTGAAAACAACGGGCTGTTTACTGTCACTGTGGGCTCCAGTGCAGCTGACCCCTGCAGCACAATGGGGCGAAAGGATGGATGTCCTGGTCCACCGTCAGGGGACATGAGGCTTGCTCGGGGGGGGGGGGGTAGTCCTCTTTAATCCCTCCACTATTCTCTGGTAGATTAACTCTTCTAAACCTGCATGCAGTGAATCAGCAGATCCCTTTAGACCTCTGTGTTTGCGTGTGTGTGTGTGTGATAAATGACAGCTCACACACGACAAACCATCTTAAATCTGTTTAATTTGTATAAAAAGTTTAAATATCAACATAGAAACGCATTAAAAATAAAATATTTCATGTAGAGGAGATTGTGGATGATTTCTGCAAATTGTAGCTTTTATTTTGGGAGTTAATTTGGGATAGATAGATCATTAAAGTGGGATGTGACAGTTTGAGCAGCCTTGTTAATCTTCATGATTTTCCTGTATAAATCATAATAGGAGAGACACACACACACACACACACACACACACACAGAGATGTTTGATAAGTTAAACAAAGTTTGTTGGATTTACAGAAAGCGTAATAATTGTTTAAACAACATTAGGCAGGTGCATAGATTTGGGAACCACAAAAAAATGACATCAGTATTTAGTGGATCCTCCTTTTGCAGAAGTAACAGCCTCTAAACACTTCCTATATCTCCCAGTGAGAGTCTGGATTCTGGTTGAAGGTTTTTTGGACCATTTTTCTTTACAAACATCTCTAGTTCATTCAGGTCTGACGGCTCCTGAGCATGGACAGCTCTCTTTAACTCACACCACAGATTATCAGTTATATTCAGGTCTGAAGACAGAGGCCATTTCAGAACGTTCTACTTGTTCCTCTGCATGAATGCCCCAAATAGATGTTGAGCAGGGTTTAGGGTCATTGTCTTGTTGAAAGATTCAGCCCCGGTGCAGCTTCAGCTTTGTCACTGACTCCTGGACATTGGTTTCCAGAATCTGCTGATATTGAGTGGAATCCATGCGCCCCTCAACTTTAACAAGATTCCCAGTCCCTGCACTGGTCACACAGCCCACAGCATGATGGAACCACCACCATGTTTTACTGTAGGTAGCAGGTGTTTTCTTGGAATGCTGTGTTCTCTTTCCTCCATGCATAACGCCGCTTGTTATGCCCAAATAACTCGGTTTTAGTTTCTTCAGTCCACAACACCTTATACCAGAATGAAGCTGGCTGGTCCAAATGTGCTTTAGCATACCTAAAGCAGCTCTGGTTGTGCTGTGGGTGGAGAAAAGGCTTCCTATACATCACTCTCACATGCAGCATCTCGAGTAAAGCGCACCGAATAGTTGAACAATGCGCAGCGACTCCACTGAGCTTACCAAACTAATTTTGAGTTCCAGTACTTAGTTCTAAAGGGTTTGGAATCAATAAAAATATTGTTATTTCTCCCCGTTTTGTTCTCATGTTAACAGGCCAGACAAGAGGATGACCCTGCCCTCACGGTTTCAGAAGGAGGTGCACACTCACCTTTCTAGAAACCCCCAACAAGTTGGTCGTAAGTAGGACAGATACTGTTTAGTGTGTGTGTGTGTGTGTGTGTGTGTGTGTGTGTGTGTGTGTGTGTGTGTGTGTGTGTGTGTGTGTGTGTGTGTGTGTGTGTGTGTGTGTGTGTGTGTGTGTGTGTGTGCGCTGTTGCAAACATTTCATGTTACACTCTCTGGCACTAAAGTATAAAACCTTACCTTAGCTGGATTGTGTTTAAACACCCTGCAAGAGAAGCTCTTGTTTGTGGTCATCTTGCCTCTCTGGTATGGAGCCGGCAGTAACCCCAAGCCCGTACTAAACTACAAATCAAAGTGTTGGCAGGATTAAGTTTAAATGTTTATACCGACTGCTAGAAGAGTGTTATTGTACATTTTTATTTTCAGCTGGCTTTTGAACCATTCAAATTCAATTTCAAAAATACTTTATTAATCCCAGAGGGAAATTGATTGCTGTAGTAGCTCAGAATAATAATGATAATCAAGTCATCAAAGAGTTATTGTATATTACAATGGCTGTTGGCAGGAAGGATCTCCAGTAGCGGTCAGTGTTGCAGCCAAACTGAAGAAGCCTCTGCCTGAACACACTCTTCCGTTGTCGGACAGTTTTGTGAAGCGTATGCTCAGCGTTGTCCATAAATGTCTTGATTCTCTGGAGAATCCTTCTTTGCATTATCTCCTCCAGCGGTTCCAAAACTGCCGAAAATCTGGCTGAGTCCTTGAAAGGACTTGGAGTTCCTCCATCTTGTTGGCCAGTGATCTCACGTTGCCCATTATGATCGATGGAAGAGATGGTTTGAATTTCCTCTTTCTCTGTCTCCGTTTTGCTCCCGCTCTGCATCCACGCTTCTAGCGTTTTAGCTCATTTGGGATTTGTGGCTTCAGTTGAGGTATTATTTCAGCCTTCCCAATGTTAATCAGCTGCTCCCGATTGTAAACCAGCTTGTTGCCATGGTTACGCATCATAACAAATGCTCAAAAAGTGAAAAAAAGCTAAAATATAGCAGTAAAAATCCTCCAAGCTTCACAGCACCAGAAACAGAAAAGTAAAGTGTCCAAAAAAAATACAGTTTTTCTTGAGAAACTAGAAGAAAAAATGCCCAAGAAAAGGCAAAACTTACATATAATCAACAGAGCTACTCCAACATGCAGCCACCCAGAGCAGCGCAGTTCCGGATCCGGATTCATAGTTTAAATTAATGTAAAGATTTTTTCCATAAATATTTTAAAATAAAAATTAGACATATTTTTGTGAGTAATAGAAATTTGTCAAAGTCTAACAGAGTACCTTAAATAAATTCATGTGAATATAAAAAAAATGAAAGTAAATATTGTAGTGCAAGGAGCACGACTTCACGGATTCACAGCAAGAAACGAGTTCATTTAACCAAGAGGCCAAGCTCCCAAATGGCTCCAGGAGCTCATCCAGGAAGTTATAAAAAACCATCCAGTGTTTATGAGCTCAATGTGCAAAAACTAGTCTGTAATACTGGGAGAACATCATAAAGCAGAGTCCCGAAGCACAAAAGACCTGTTTCCATTTACTACAGTTCATCCTTATAGTTCAAAGTTTCTCCAGAAATGTACAAATGCCTTTTTCCAGCAACCATTCCTCATTATTCCTTTAATCAGATCCCAAAACATGTCATATCTTTGTTTGCACTTTAAAAATGCAAAGTATAACTTTTCCAGATATGAGAAGCTATAAACAGCCTTAACATGTGTGTGAATAATGGCTTTTTGTCGTCCAGCACCATTGAATCTCAATGAGAGCATTGCATCAGAAAAAGGAAAGCCCTATAACCCACAGCAGGTCCAGGGTCGCATCAAGGAGATCTTAGGAAAGTACAGCAATGGCTTCTGGGTATCCAAGCTGCCTCAGATCTACAGAGAGCTTTACAAACAGGACCTGCCTTCAGAGACCCTCAGAGACCTGGAGACCTGGACTCACATATGCGCTGTAAGCACTCATTCCGATAATACGGTCTCATTTTCAGGCTTCACATAAATACGTATGTAAAATTAAACATATGTCGTTAATGTAAAAGTGTAAGAAACACCATCAGGTTCAGAAACATTATAGAGAAGCAATAAGTTCTTAAATTATGTTTTTGGTGCACTTTAAATGGGATGTTTTAATAATAATGACCAGCAACTTCAACTTTTTACGTTCACATAACAGGATGTATGGGAGTGAAGAGTGCCTGAGCAGAACTGTGATTTCTCTCATCTGCAGGGTAGCTAGGGACAGTTAGTACTGGTCTGGTTTTAGGTCTAATTTATGTTTGAGTCGCTAGAGTGTCATCTGCAGAAAAATGGTATTTCTGTATGAGATGGCTAAGAAGACTCAAGTATGAGAATGGAAGGGGGACAAAGACAAGACCTTGCAGTACACCACAAATTTGAAGATCTTTTGGGGGTAAATTATTATTAAATGTGACGATAATGGTTCTGTTTGATAATTATGAACGTGTAAAACATATATTATGATGATGCATTCAATACCAAATAGGAAATTATTTTAACAATAGTATCGAGAAGATCTATTTTCAATGAAATTTAAATCATTAAAAATGTTCAAATTTCTTTCTTCGGACAAGTGAACCAATTCAAACTGTTTTTTTTTCTAGGTGGAGAAAACTTGCAGCAGCAGCCCTTCTGAGCTGCTCCTCTACCCCGCCAAGGAACACCCCACCTCACTGAGCCCGTCACCCTTCCTCAACTCTGACCTCATCACCTCCGCTCCAGCTACAAACCCTGGTCCAGATAAACCTTCCCCCCAACAGAGACGCCCCAGTACTCCTCTGACTCGCTCCGGTTCCCAATCTCCTCAGTCTCCTCCTTGCTCTTCCTCCTCCTCCTCCTCCCCCAGCCCCTCTTCCTCCCCTGCCAGCCTAAGCCCAGACCTGAAGCAGAAACTGGAGAAGCTGCTGATGAAGTACTCCAATGGTTTGTGGGCCCACGCACTGCCCAAGCTCTGCCAGGACACCTACAAGGTCAGCAACATTGTCACAGGTGACCTTCTCCCTCGCTGCATTCTGTGACTCTTTATTTATTTATTTAAGACCAAACTACCTGGACACGTCCTGGAGAACCTTGACCTCCTCTCTGACATATGCACCATCGACTACCCGGTGCCTGACAACCCCAAGAGGGCCATCCTGTACAGGCGGAGCAGCGCCGGAGGTGGAGAGGACGAGAACTGTAACAGAAGGAGCTCCTCTGCCAGTGATGAGGAGCTGAGACTGAGGAAGGAGGTGGAGAGGAGGCTCAGTAATTATGCGGTGCCTTCTCTGCAGATCCCCAAAGAGGAGTACCCGTCTGTGCTGGTGATCGAGGCCCCCAACACCAACGGAGTTCTACTCAGGTGGGACTGGAGGTGAGGTTTTGATTTGACCAACCGGAACGTCCTCACGGTCTCCTTCTCCTCCAGGTACATTGGTGAGGGCTACTCTCTGGCGCAGGAGGCCATGGAGGATGAGATGAGGGCGTTTTATGGCTCGGACCAAAACCGCCCAACTACTGTGTCGTCTCCATCCTCGGGCCAGCTGGTTGCAGTCAGAGCAGAGGAGGAGGAGGAGGAGATCCTGAGAGGGCAGGTCTGCGAGGTCACGCCTGATAAAGTTAAGGTAAGCAGTCAAAAACGGGAAATGATCAAAGTGAACTGAAAAAAGTGTCGGTCATGGTTGTTGCTGGTTCTGTAGGTGTACTACGTGGACCATGGCTTCTCAGAGGTGGTCAACAGAGCCAAAGTGTTTGAACTGCATGAGAAGTTTTTCAAGCTGCCTTTCCAGGCAACCAAGTGTAAGCTGGCAGGTGAGTCGCTGAGTGGTGAGCATAAACGGGAAGAGAAAAGAACCAAAGAGCAGGTTCCTGCATCTGTCCAGGCCTGGAACCGTTCTGTCAGGAACCCGCTGTGCTGAAGAAGTTTGAGACCATGGCCACAGGAAGAATCCTCTTGGCCGAGGTCTTAAAACGAGACGAGACTCCACTGGTGGTGCTGTACGACACGTCTCAGGACGACGACCTGAACATCAACGCTGCCTGCATTAAAGCTTTGCAGGACAAGACGCTAGCAAGTCCGCTGCAGGTACAGGTGTGTGTGTGAGGTGGGACACAGATGAGGTCACAGCAGCTAAACCTCTGCTCTTCTTCAGGTGAACAGCGCTTACATGAACGTGACGGTCAGCAGCGTCTGCTCAGACGGGACCATCTACTGTCAGCTCCCCACCAGAGGACTCTCAAAGCTGAACCAGATATTAGAAAGCATCGAGACGTACTTCCACACACAGGTGAGACAAAAACACACGCTGGATACTCTGCTGCTGTGCACCAGTGCTGTGGACAGATTGAGATTAGGTGGATTATCTGGAGTTAAGACATTAACGAGGCACTTAATCTTGTTAGCTGCACAGGAAGTGGTGCGTCGCTGCTGTTCTGCTTCATATCACTCTTTTATTTTTAAATGTTCTTTAAAGATCAAGCTACAGGTAAAGTATTATTTTAATTTCATATAAAATGTTGTCCAAAAACACTATTTGAAATGCCTATTGTGGGTATTTTTTTTACAATACATAACGACCCCTTAGTTTGAGTAAAAAGTGGCACTTTTTCAGCAAAGCTTCTAAAAATGCTTTTTTAAAAGTCTTAACCTCTGACGTAATGAGGGGGAGTTACGAGCTAGTCCTGCCTGAAGCTCACAGTGTGGTGAGTAGGTAGTTTCCAGGTAGAGGCGTTATCCAGTCAGTGTGTGTTCACTAGTTTTGGATTACGTTCATTTTTCTTAAGAAATTTTAAACTACTGTGTTTGTGGAGGATGTACAAACTCCAGCAGGTCCGGACATCGATTCCACGGGTTTCCAAATAAGAGAATGAACGGCACCATCTTCCGTTCCTGGTGCGTTTTTTATGCAGCTGAAAACACGTTTTGTTGTGGTGCACACTTCAGACCGGAGGATTGCAATCCCCGCGATGTGACGGGAGTTCAACACGCCTACAGAGCTCCATGGCGGAGTTAAAAAAAAAAACTTGCTGGCTCCTAGAGCCCAGATCAGCATCGTAGCCACCAGGTCAGAGAGGTCTGCGTGTTAAAATACATATTTTTCTCTGGATCAAGCTAACAGGACTCCCTCTGCCTGTGTCACGGTGGGTTTGGCAGAAAAACTCATTTTTCTCACAATAACAACTAAATTTTTATTTAGAACAAGTTCCTGTTGTGTTTCTCTAAGGAGGCTCTAACCTGCAATATGCTCTTTGAGGACATTTTCTAAATTTAAACCAGTGTCTCTCGGCAAACAGGAAGTATTTAGAGAAGTTCTCCTGGAATGAATCCCAACCTGAGGGACAGCTGGAGTAGAAATGTCCTTGATGTGATTGCAGGGATGAGGCTTCACCTTTTATTCTGTTAGACTCTAATGAAATCTACTTTGTTCAGGTGACATCAGAGTTCTTGGTTTCCAGACCTTTTTGTGGGAAAGGCTGTTTGGCTCGCTATAAAGGCAGATGGTCTCGTGTAGAGGTAAGACAGAGCTAGAAGCGTAAAGTGAATATTTAAACAGGACGGTTTTATGTTCTGTTTCAGAATAAAAGTTCTCCATGTGCTTCTGTATTCAGATCAGTAACTTGCACGGCAGCAGGGTGTTGGACATCCTGTTTATTGACGTGGGTGTTCAGGCTTCTGTGGAGGTGTTTGAGCTGAGAGAAATCCCGCCACAGTTCCTCCGGGAGCTGGCGGCCATCCCACCACAGGTCAAAGCCTTTCACTATTAAAGCAGTCAGGAGAAGCAGGAGACGAGTCTAACCTGAACTAACCGCCTGTGTTCAGGCTGTGAAGTGCTGTTTGGCTGACTTGGCTGTCAGCGTCGGATCCTGGACTCCAGAAGTTGTTCAGTGGCTTCGAGAGAAAGTGCTCAACACTACAGACTGTAGCATGAAGGTAGATTCTCCTAAACACACGTACAGCTACGGCCTCTTTTCCTCTTGTGTTCTTCCTCTGGACAGACCTCCTCTCTCTCCAGGTTGCCAAAGTGGATGAAACCAAGCGCTGCATCTACATCCACCTGTTCACAGATAAGAACTTCCACGACCCGGCCCGCAGCCTCAACCAGCAGATGGCCCAGTCCAACCTGTTCAAACAGCAACCAGACGTCATACTGACCAGCCACAGGTTCCTCATGCTCTTTCACCTCTTTTGACCAATCAGAAATAAACCGGCATTTAAATGTTGTCGTTTCATTTTACAGCCCAACCAAGATTACCACCAACCCTTTCTCCTCCAAGACCTCCAGCTCCAGTGACTCCACCAGCAGCAGCCCGACGTCAGCTTCTGTCCCAGCCAAGCTTCACCCCAGGAGGACTCTGGTGGGACCTGGAGGAGGAGGAAGGGGGAGCACACCCCCAGCAGACCCAGCACAAACATCATCATCACCTGCATCGTTTCTGCAGCTGCCTCCACTTATAGATTTACCTCCAGCAGGTAAGAATGATTTTATAGTTTTAGCACATACGGTATTATATCAAAATGCCAATGTTTCAGATAAAAAACTCTCTTTTCTCCCTTTTATCCTTAGGAAACAATATGGATGTGTTTGTGTCTCTGGCCTGCCACCCGGGGCACTTTGTGCTGCAGCCCTGGAGAGACATGTACAAGCTGGTGGTGCTAATGGGGGAGATGATCCTCTACTACAATAAGACTGAGGAGGAACCAGTCAGCATAGAGAAGAATCAGATTTATGCTGCTAAGATAGAGAACAAGTGAGTTAAAGGTAAAGGTTATGAACATTCTCACCTGCTGTAGTATAACGTCTCTTCTCCTTGTGCTCCTCAGCTGGCATCGTGTACTAGTGAAGGGCGTTCTGACCAATGGGTTGGTGTCTGTGTATGAGCTGGACTACGGTAAACACGAGCTGGTCAGCTGCAGCCGGCTCAAACCTCTGATCAAGGAGTTCAGACAGCTGCCGTTCCAGGGGATCCACGCTCAGCTGGCTGGTGAGTAGACCCCAGAACGTCCCTGAGAACAGGCTGACCTCAGATCAGTTCAACTCTAAACCAATAAGACTTACACTTCTATAGATCTATGGGTATCAGCTCATTTTATTTCTGGAGATCGTCTCAAGACCCCAAACATGGAGCTCCACAACCTCAGTGGGTCCCGGCCCCACCTTCAGGAAGCCTTGAGCTAAACCCGGGTTCTGCGCCAGACCCTCCACAATGGCTCCTAATAACTTTGGCAAGAAATGATTAAAAAATGAATAGATGTGTTTTTTAAATGCAGTTTTAAGCTGCTTTTAATGAAATAATCACAATGAGTGTCTGCTACAAACAAACACTAGAACCTTGTACACATGTAGTCGGGTTTTTGCAAAACTGAATATCTTCCTCGTCCATCCAGGAAAACGCTTGTCTCCACGCCACCTTGTTCTCAGTAAACACTCCAGTGCATTGTGAAGCATGCCAAGCCTGTAGGGGGCAATAGTTCCAGCCTTTGCCAAAAAACATTCCTTTGACTCTGATTAACAAGGTGGCGTCATCCTTTGCCTGTCGTCTACTACGCAGAGCAGTAACAGAGCTTGTAAAAACCAGTGTAAACACAGGTCACACTTGTGGCGTCAGTATTTTTGTCACGGGCAGTAATGTTACGAAACCTAAACGTGGCTATTTAAATCCACAAAGAAATGCTGACAATGGAGGATTGGCAGATCTTCTCTTTGTCAGAGTTTATAAAGAATTGTTTTTAGGGCAGTTTATCTCCACTTTCATGTGGATGACCGGCCAAACCGTAACAAAATGTCCTTCTTTATGTCTGCTAATCAGCCCCGTGTGTACGTGGTGTAAATGTACCAGTAATACCGTCTGTATACAACTATTTAAGTTACATTTTTGCTAATCAACATCAAAACATCCTGATTGTCATGGTCTGCATCCTGCGTCTCCCTCATGTGTCTCCTTGTGTTCTCCATCCCTCTCTAGGTTCTCCCTATGTGTCTCCTAGCGTCCTCATGTGTCTCCTTGTCTGCATCCCTCCTCATGAGCCTGATTGTGTTCCCCAGCCCACTCCAGGTTCTTCCCTTAGGTGTTCCCTCCAGGTTTCAGTGTCCCTGTTTGTCCCCAACCTCCCTCCAGACTTTTTAGGATTTTTTCTTTAGTCACCCTTTAACAGTAGTCTTCTGTTAAGTGTTTTTTCTAGTCGGCTTTCTCCCTCTAGGTCAATTTTGCTTCCTTCCCCATGTTTTATTTCTGGCCTCCTCCCCTGCTCCGTTGTACTCCTCTGTTAATTGGCCTCACCTGCGTACAATTCCCTAATCACCCAGTCTCTATGTATAAAACCCTGTCTGCGTCTCTATGTTGTGTTGGTCCATTGTTCATGTCAGTGTGGGTTTGTCCCCCCCCTCCTTCGTGGTTTTTCCCGGTCTCTAGGATTTTTTGGCTTTTGCTCCTGCTTGGATTTTATTTACCTTTTGTCATCCTAATAAAGGAATGTTTTCTTTCACATCCGCTCCTGCCTCATGTAGTTCTGGGTGTCTGCATATTCGGTCCTACTCCTCCAACCCACCTCGTGACGCTGATACTGTTCAGTTGTAAACATTGTGCTCCATCCCTGAGTTTGAAATCAGAAGTCGCTTCTTGATGCCACAGATATGTGATGATTTAGCTTGTTTCTTAATTTTACTGCAGAATAAGAGATTAAATTATTACAAAAACAGTTCAGTGTAGTTAAATTAGTCATTCAAATGATTCTAACATGCAGGTGTGTGTGTGTGTGTGTGTGTGTGTGTGTGTGTGTGTGTGTGTGTGTGTGTGTGTGTGTGTGTGTGTGTGTGTGTGTGTGTGTGTGTTTCACATATAGGACTGGATGAGACAGCATGGTTTCATCAAATCATGCGTCCTTTATCTTGGCTGAAGTAACGGCCCAGGAAAATAACTTATGTTTCATAAATAATGACGTCTCTGCAGTGTTTATGATAATATTTTATCTTTGGTCTGGGAGGTGTGACACATGTTAAAGTGTTACAAGAGGAGAAAAATGCATGAATTTAAAGTTCATGTTTGGAGACCAACCTTCACAGTTTGGAGGCTCACGCTGGTGAGGAGACACCATTAGTTCTAGTAACACCTGGGCTCCCAAGGTCTATTCTGACAGGATGGACGTTACGGGACCCTTGAGGATTACAGCTGGATGATTGGAGGATTATTTAGGAGGATTGGAATGAACAAACTGATTTCAGTGGTGAAGGGTTAAAGGTATTGACTCAGCATTAAAATTGTAGAAATGCAAAATAACTACACTTTACCATCTATATAAATATGTTCTGCATTCAGTTTTTCATTTTATTAAGGACTTTTGTCATAAATGATTACAGAAAATCCAAATCCTCTCCTCCAGACAGTGAAGAACTGTGTTTCGCATACGTCACTCCAGCACATAAAACAATCCACTCAATCCAAATGTGTTTCACACATTTGTCCTTTACCAGAATGTTTCATCTATCTTGTAATTTCCATTTTGTATTTTGTAATTTGTATTTTGTAATTTGAATTTCTTTTATTGTTGATTTATTCAATATATTTACATAAAACTGTACAATGTTCAGCGCTTTGGGCTTCCTGACAGGGTTGCGGAAGGCGCTTTATAAATAAAGCTTTGATTGATTGATTGATTGATTGATTGATTGATGGTAGCTGCTGATGCTAGTATTTTAAATCACTGTTATTTGTTTACTTTCATGCTCCTAATTATTATGTAAAATTGCGTTTACAGCTGCAGCAAAAGGTCTGAGCCATGTGTCCGTGTCCTACACGCACTTTTAAATAACAGGTCTGATCTAAAATAATAACCTTCATCTATAAAGCCATCTAGAACCGCACTCTAGACAAGTCCCGTTAGCATGACTGCAGCAAAACTGCTAACGGTGTTAGCTTCGGTAAGGAAAGAACAAGTCCTTTGGAAAGTTACCCCCCCCCCCCCCCCCCCACACACACACACACACACACAGATATAATCTAGAAGATGATCTCTATATTTCAACATTAGATCCTCCATGGACCGGTAGAACCTCCGCGACATCCTGGATTAGTGCAAACAACAAATTGAGCTAAGGAGTTACTCCTGCATCAGGAAGATTAATTCTGGTAAATTGTCAGTTAAATATTTTCCAGAGTTACATCAATAAATACACACAGCAGTAAAACTGTAGATTACTGAACTATATTGGGACACATGATGGAGCTAAGACCAGCTGAAAACTTGTCAGCTTAGAGCTCCCATTTGAGCACAGGAATGACATATTTAAGAAAAGTAAACAAACTGTACCAATTTTGGTTCCGAAGATGAACAGAATCCTCCTCTATGTCCAAATCAGGTCGCAGGTCTTCTGAGTCGAACGGTCTAAAACATGTCTGCACCTCTGGTAGTGATATCTAGCTAGCGGGGTCGGAGTTCGATTGAACTTCTCCGGTAATCCGATATCTGTTCTCGTCGCTGTATCCCAGAGAAAAAACAAATCTGACCGACTAGTAGAAGCTTCAGAAGCTACATCTGATTGATGACACATTGTTCTCTGCTATAACGCTAAAGAAGAAACAGCGGAGTCAGGTGTTGTTTACTACAGCTGTTTCAGCAGAGCTCCATGTGAAACGTCACCAGCTGCCCAGGGCTTAGACCGGAAGTTAGTTTCTGTTTTTCCCACGCCAGTCACAAACATCAGATTTTCTTACAATTCCAGCCGTCAAAATCCAAAAACCTTTGTGAATAGGGTGTATATGGGGAGCATGAGTGGGTGTCCAGAAGGCATTTTTGTAAGTCTTAGGTTGTATGTGTATGTGTAAGCATAAGGGAGGGTGTGCGTGACTGTGTCTGTGTATGACTGTATATGTCAGGTGGGGTCTTTGACTCTTCCCCTCTCCTGGGGATGCTATACATCTTCGTCTCCCCTCCCCCTGCCACACCTGCCATGGAGTAGGGTGCCTTGGTCTGCCTGAGTGTTCGTGGCTCCCGGGTCAGGGGGTTTAAGATTTTTGGCATCTGCCTGATCAATCCCAATGGCTGCCTGGTGGGATCTGGATCGCTGGGCTCCTCTGCTGGGTCCCCGGTAGGTCTGGTCACCCCTGGGTCCCGGGTCGCTGGGTTCCGGGCTCGGCCGGCTAGGGGGTGGGAGGCTGCGGGCAGGCCTGTGGGCTTCCCACTGATATCTCCCGGGACTCTGCCGGCTGCTGGTTGTGGCCCCCCAGGGCAATCCTCTGCGCCTCTCGAGGGGGGGCTGGGGCTTTTCTGGTTGCAGTTTCCCTGGGTCCCTGTGCTCTGGGGCAACTACTGGATCTCTGGGATTTGGAGCTCCCTCCATCTCCTACACGTCTTTGGGGGGTGGATCTGTGGCCCCTCACACTCTCTATTGGACGCTCCTATAGAGAACCCTTACATATACAAGCGCGTGTACACACACAGGTGCTCACATGGTGCTCTTATAAGTATGGACTTAAACATTTTCAACACATGTCTTAAGGCTGTGGTTGGCACTTAATGCACTGTGATTTATTATTGTGTGATTGTTCCGTAAAAAATGTTGATTTTATATTTCTTCATCAAGTAGAAGCAGTGATAGCTTGCTCCTGTTGTATTGTTGTGTGTACCTTTTCTGCAGGTCTAGAAGCAGACTCTTGTTCATCATTGATTGTTTATTTTTGTGCAAACGAATTTTGCCTCTGGCCGACATCTTTAAATGAGTGAGTGAACCCGCTACCAAGGATGAACTCTGCTAACTTTAAAAATCAGCTCCTCTAAATAAGCATGAAGGTCAGAGAGGAGCGCTAGGATGGACACGAATAAAGGAACTGTAATGTAGAGGTAAAGTAGGGCAGGGCCAACGTTAGCAGCTGTCATACGGTCCATTTGAAATGTTTGACTTTCATTTAGCTTGTTATGTGACAGGTTAGAGCACAGTCTCATGTTAGAGTTTTGTCATGAGAACATTGAGATACTTCACATTCTGATGGCATCTAAAAATTAACTTTTTTTTTCAAAATAAAGAATAATTTTAATCACGATTGAAACGTATAATCCTAGAAAAACCTCGTCCAGTCAATGTGCACATTCTGTTCTCACTGATTGGATAGAAATCCTTCCATCAAACTGTGTGTGCGTGTGTGCGTGTGTGCGCGCGCACACACGAGCGTGTTGTGAACTGATGTGGTTTCGCACTGATGTAGCCATCTATACACTTGACAAAAATGTAACTAAGTAACTTTTACTTTAGTAGATTTTATTTATGATACTTTTTACTTTTACTTAAGTAAAAATTTAGGCAATTACTTTTACTTGTACTTGAGTGAAAATTATCAAAGTATTGGTACTCATACTTAAGTAGGAAATTTTGGTACTCTTTCCACCTCTGATAAATAGTCTTTTTACAACAGGTCATGTAGCAATTGCTGCGATAAATAAAGTTTGTTCAGGTTATTCTAAATAATATTGACTGATTTTCCAGATCATCATGAACATTAATTAAAGACAAAAATGTATTGAATAATCTATATTAATAGAATGGAAATGATATTTGTATCTTTGGTTGACTTTAATCATTTATTTATCAGCAAGTTTCATGAGAAAATAATTGAATAAAATGATACTAAGTTATTAACCTTTCAGCTCACCTAGATCTTATTAACTTGATTTATTATATTTATAATTTTTTTAAATTCCTAAAATAATTTAGTAGATATTTAATAATTTGTACTTATATGTTTCAGAAGGCTTTAAAGTGATTTTTGTACCACTGTAGAAATAATAAATGAAAACTACTTAATAACACATTGAACTATTCAAATGGTATTTTTTATTAAACCATTAATAATAAAAATAATTTGTCAATTATCGCTTTTATTTCAAAACCAACTTCATTGCTGCCTCTTTCCAAAGGAGTGAAGCAGAGTCAATGGTCAGAGGAGGCCTCCATCGTTTTCAGAAACCACGTGGAGAAGAAGCCTCTGGTGGCCCAGCTGGAGGCCGTGCAGGAAGCTTCCAACCCGTGGGACAGGAAGCTGACGGTCTTCCTGGTGGACACGTCGCAGGAAGAGCAGGACATCTGGATGCATGACATCATGGCCGAGTTTGCAGATGAGTCGAGCAACGAACTATAGACAATAAACTGCTGTGGAAACGAGCAACAGGAGAACCTAGGGGGTCTTAAGGTGGATTTAAAGAAGAAAGGATTTTAAAAATGTGAACACATAGATCAGTGAAAAAGACATTAAATTATAATTATTATAGGCTGCACATATCAACACACGGAAATCTGTATCAGTATGTTGAGATGAAGATGATATTTGTTACCAGCATAACTAAATAATACAAAGAAGCTATCCTAAACCATGTAGTGCAGCAACCTGCTGAAGTTGTGCATGTTTGAGTGTGTGAGACAGCCTGAAAACCAGTCCTGCTAAATGTGACTCCATGTGTCCTCACACTTCACATGCATTGGTTTACAGTCTGCTTTGAGCGATATGTCCAAATGTTTACAAAAGTTCAGCCAAACATTTCTTAATAGAGGAGGAGTTGGAATCTCAAAAAGCGATTTTAACAGGTAATTATGTGTAAATTCGTCAAAAATTAGCTCAGCCAAGATGAAACCCAAGGACTAATAATGAAGATTTATAGATTTGATTTGTTAATTTGCTTCAGTATGGTTTTGCTTGTGTTTGCATTAGTGGTTTTATCGGAACGCGTGGCTCTGCATGCAGGATGAACAGTTTAGTCTATTATATTTATTATTAAAATATTAAAGAATAAAGTGGAAGTTAGATCATGACCAGTTGTCAGCACAGTCTTTAATAAGAGTTCACTGCTTTTATGGTGGAGTTCTGTGGAAACCAGGGTTGTGTATTAGTAAGAATCTGGTGATACGATATATTGTATCATATCGTATCGCAGTACAGGGCAGGCGATACACTATATTGTGATACTAAAAGCCAGGTGATATTTTCAAATTTTAACACTGAAATTAAATGGAATATCAGACCAAACACTTACAAGACACATCCATTGTTGTCACAAGATCTAATCCGAATGGAGATGGTTAAAACTGCTGCCATCTAGTGGTTCGAGTTTGAATTGCACCACCCACAAGAAATGGTTAATGTTTGCTTGAAAATTTTCATTAAAGTCAATACACTGCTATAAAGATCAATTCAGTATCATAACATAAAATATCGCAATATTTCAGTGTGTCAATATTTTCTTACTTTCCTAGTGGAAACCGTATCTTACCTGTGGTAGATAGTTCTTTGGATAGCCTCAACTTGGAGAAATAGATTAGTTCTGATCAGACAAGTGACTCTGGGTTCAGTTTCAAATGCTCTTCAATCATGTTTAAACTGTCATATTTTTATAATGGTTTTTCTGGAGAGAATTGAGATGAAATTCCAACCAGAAACGCTACAGAAGCTAGCTAGCCTGACAGCTACATTTGAAATTATATTTATGTTTATGTTTATTCATTTAGCAGACGCTTTTGTCCAAAGCGACTTACAATTTATAACCTATAGGGCATGTTGTGATCTGTGGGGGAAACCGGAGTACCCGGAGGAAACCCACGCATGCATGGGGAGAACACGCAACTCCACGCAGAAAGGCCGCAGCCGAGTTTCGAACCTGCAGCCTTCGTGCTGTGAGGCAACAGTGCTAACCACTGCGCCACCATGCAGCCCGTATTTAAACAACCATTAAACATATAATGGTGTAATCATTTATAAACTAACATTTGTAAGATCTGCGATGAACATTTTAGGACTGCAGTTGTTTTAAAACAGAAGGAGCACTTTGTACCTGGCCCCACTGAGACTAGCCTTTAGCATGTCAGTCTATTTCTCTAGACTGAGGCTGATTAAAAAGCCATCAACAACTGGTAAAAATATTAACTGGTCATAATTTTACAACAGAAACATACATTCAGAAGATTTGAGCTATTCCTTCGACTTATCCGTGGGATTGTTATGTTTAAACCTGAACCTGATTTGTGTTATTAAAGCTGCTATAGCTAATTTGGAAAATAAGTTAACCTAAAACATTTTTTATGCCTCTTAATGCTAACAAAGTATAGCTATAAATATATTGTGGAGATAAAAAAATAAACAAACAAGAAAATTTGTCTGAAGCAACCACTGGACCATCCAGCTGTCAGTTTTGCTGAACCACCACACTTCCCTGGGTTCTCCATTCATTACGCACTCATGTATTTAGCAACAGAACACCACTGGTGTGAGAGGTTCCCAGCTCAATAATATCAGAGAAGGAGAAACAGCCGGCTGCTACCACTTCAACTTAAGGACAAACTACCAGAGTCCCCAAAAGAAAAACACCATTTGAAATCACAAACAACAAAAATGCTTGACCCTAGAAAACCGTGACTGGTGTTTAGCACTATCTCGTTTCCTTTGGTAACACTGGTTTTTGGTTCCGGTGGATGCAAGGGAAGATACCCGAGGGAAGGGGTGAGAGCTCCATGACAAAAACCTAGCTTGTTTGCAGATTCACTATAGCAGCTTTAATATCTTCCACTAATTCCTGTTTTCCAGCTATTTTGGAAGAGATCAAACTTTTGCACATCTTCCTGACTTGTATACAGATGATTTGCAGTTAAAATAACAGATTCAGAGAAAAGTGTGTAAAAATTCTAGATTTTTCTTGAATTGTTGCATTAAATGTGGGACTTGGTTGGGATTTGAAACTGAAATATGACAATTTTCTGGTTTGTAGAGCTGACAAGGCTCAAAGCTGCTTTATTAGACATTTTATTTATAATTAACTTATATTCTTTAGATTCATATAAACACAATATGACTCACATATTGTTATGACGTGGCTAATTAAACATGTTTTCTGAACAAAGTCTGATTTTTCCCTTTCTTAGAGCAGTTTCATCCCATTGTGTTGATGTAATAAGAGGCACAAGTGACTTTGAATTTCTTTATTAAAATAATTCTGTTAATTTACACAAAAAAAAGCAAAAGCTCATTCCTCTAGGCACACAAAATGATAACAGATGACCACATTTACTTTGCAAACTGACTAATGAATGAAAGCTACAGAAGTCTTCACTGAAGTTTGAGATCATTCTCTCTGGTAATCAGGAAACGATTGGTCCGTCTGTGCAGCTGTTTGCAACGGTCAGTGAATGGAGAGCATCATCACAAACTCTGAAATTCAGGAAGAACAGTCAAAGCCTGAGTCATCAGAAGAACGTGTTACGACACAAACGCAAACGCTCACCCTCAAAGTCGATGTTGCCGTCTGAGTTTATATCCAGCTCCTTCAGGATCTCCTCTAGCTCGCCCTTCTTCAGCTTCTCTCCCAGTAAAGACTTCAGTGCCTCCTTCATTTCATCTTGGTTTATTTTTCCATCTCCATCCATGTCAAACTTTAAGAAACACACACATTTGATGCCTTTTACTTGGCAGCCTTGATAAGTGAGATTTGTGTTTAGATCAATAAAAACCCTCTTGCTTATCCTCTTTTTCATTCGTTTAAAGTGATAATGTGCATTTTCCCTGGTGACAAGGGGCAGTACACTCCTAAATCATTGCAAGCAAGTGGTAATTTTGTGTTTGAGTAAGACCTTACCAACAGATGGCTTTTAAAGTGAAAATTTCCTGGGAGTGCAACCTCCAGCCAAATAACAAGCACATTAGACACATCATGTATAAAACCACAATGTTTATGAATGGTGAAAGTTTTGTAACCATTTGTTACAAATCACTAAATGTGTTTTGACCTCACAGGCTCATGTAGAAGAAAGCATGTTATCGAATGTGGCATCGCTCAGAGACTTGGGCCCGGTCCCATGTATTTTAGACCGGATTTTTTATGGTTATATGTTACAAAACCACCAATATATTTCAACAACTTTGTCTCATTTAAATCATTTTCAACATTTTGATGAATATTTCCAGAGATTAACGGTAAAAACTACACATAGTCTCTTTAAACAAAGTGTTGATATCTGACTGACCTGTAGAAAGGCCGACTGGAGCTCCTTTAGTCCCAGCATGTTGGTGGTCTCTCCCATCATCCTTGGCCCCATCAGTTCAATGAAGTCATCAAAGTCCATCAACCCGCCCACTGTGGGGAAGAAAATTAGCTTTGGTTCATTACATTTGTTGTAACTTTTGTCTTGTGTTGTGACTTTAGTGTTTAGGTTGTTGCTTTTATATTGTGTTGAACCTTCTGGGCCGCTGTACTTTAAAATTTGAAAACAAAAGCAGACGGGTGGCTAACATACAAAAATATATTGTAAAACAAACAAGGCCATCTTCAATTCCCACCAAAAGAACTGCTTCCTTCCTCTGATTGGTCAGCTGCAGGGGCACAACAAGGCTCCACCCACAGCTTCATGAGACTTCTGTTAAAACTAAAAGATTCAAGGAAGTAGCTGATGCCAAAATTACACCATGTTCTGAAATACAGTTTACCGTTTTGAAATAACATTTTCTTCAAGAAAATGAATAGTTAGAAATGGCATTATAATACATAAGACCGTAGACATGTAGTAGTGATTACGTGTTTACTAAATATGAGGCATGTAAAATGAGTATAACCAATAAAAGATGATAATAAGCTCACTTCTCATTTTGATTTGTTGCACGATTTCCAGCAGCTCCATCTCAGTGGGCATGTACCCCATCGTCCTCATGCACTCAGCCACATCTTTGTAGTTCAGGTAGCCGTCCTGGTCGTAGTCAAACTCTTTAAAGGCTTCCTGGAGCTCTGCAAGTTTTAAAACAGTTTAGAGTTAAGAATGAATCCTGTTAACCTAAACCCCATATTCCTTTTTTTCCCCCGTGTCTTGTCTGGCTGTGAAGCAAACAGAATTGATGTCTGAATGGTGGCGACAAGCCTTGGAGATTTACTCTCCAGTGAAGCATTATCCGTACCCACTGTCCATCCATCCATCCATCCATCCATTGTCTGAACCCGCTTGTCCATGTAGGGTCGCGAAGGGACTGGTGCCTACCTCCAGCGGTCAATGGGCAATCAGGCGGGGTACACCCTGGACAGAAAGGGCATCGCAGGGCAACACAGAGACACACAGGACAAACAACCATGCACACACACACACCTAGGGACAATTTAGACAGACCAATCAACCTAACAGTCATGCTTTTGGACTGTGGGAGGAAGCCGGAGTACCCGGAGAGAACCCACGCATGCACAGGGAGAACATGCAAACTCCATGCAGAAAGACCCCAGGCCGGGAAGCGAACCCATGACCTTCTTGCTGCAAGGCAACAGCTCTAACCACTGTACCACTGCACAGCCTCGTTCCCACTGTACGACACTAAAAGCTGCAAGAAACAACAATGAAAAGAGAAAAATGTGCCACCCTCTCCACTTCTATTGTTACACATCAAACCAAACTCCACCAAGCAGTAGTTGTTTGCGTCACTCCTTCCTTGGGTATATTTTCATTGGTCAATTGCAGACGGGAGCCATAGCTTTTCAAGAAGTGCTAGAAGACTGTTGAAGACTGAGTTTGGTTGTGAGAGTGCTCAATAAACTGTTGCTGGTGGTTAACCCTAACCCAACCACAGACGTGGAAATCACCATCACGTTCACGGTTTTTATCAGGAATCTGAAGGATTTGTCTTGGGTAGCCAAAACCCCACAGTGTGATCCAGGCGGCAACAACAACAAAATAAATGTAGTTTTAAATTCTAGGACTGTATTTTACCCAAGTCCTCAGCAGTCAGGTCCCTCGATCTTTTGCAGAAAGTCGATCTGTTACTGACTATTTTTGTGGAGAGAAGCGGTTTCTTTGCTGCCTTTCTTGATGCAAGGCCATCCTACAAAAGGCTTCTCCTCACAACATGCTGGAATTTATTCAAACTACCATCATAAAAAACTGGTGCAGCAGTCTCTGTGACAGTTAATATTTGCAACACCATTGACCATAGCTGCATGGCCAGCTATTAAGCTAAAATTCTATGAAAGTTGATGTAAACTTGTGAATGAAATCATTTTAAATTGTTGCACAACACATTTTGGATCACTGACAATTTGTTACAGATATGTTGATCTCATTTTGGAGCTTTAGAGTGAGACTCACCATCTATTTCAGCCTGAGCCAACTCTCTTTCCTAAGGAAACAGAAATAAAGCACACTTTACTTAATGCACAAAAGTAAACGTGACCCTGGCTATCACATGACAAATCACTTTTTATCAGATACGCACACATTTGTGCAGAGCAACAAAAGAACAAAGCGGGGATCTAATGGTGCTATTCAACCTTAACCAATGATGACATTAAGCTTTGACCTCTTTGGCCCCACTAGGCTTAGAGCCAGGAGCTCCAGGTAAACAAGGGAACAAGCTTCTACTGCCTCTGATGATTGACTTTTCAACCCTCTGACTTAAAGAGCAAAAATCGACCGTATTTACTACATGAACTGTCTAAAGTCCCAAATATGGCTAAATGTAACGTTTGGACCTAAATAGTTTCAAATCATTTAAAAATTAAAATCTAAATTCTTATACAAATTTTAGGGAGTGTTTCCAGAAGTGCCTATGACAGGATGTTGTGTGGGCTACTCACGGCTCCAAAAACACTTTCGAGGACGGAGGTGTAGACTTTGTTCATGCTCTCTGAGCTTTTCTTGGACTTCTTTGATGATTTCTTTGGTGTTTCAGAGACAGAACCTGATGGGGAGTTTGTAGTGGTGCTAGATTTACTGCCACCATCTTTGCTATAATAGAAAACCAAATGTTAAAAGAAAGACCCAGGCTAAAAGGACTTAAGCCACTAAAGGATGTTTGGCTTTAACAAACTTTTCTGATGAAGTCGAGTCGGCAGAGGTTGTAGAAGCGGTCCTCTCTCCTGCTTTAGGCATTCTGGAAATAAACCAAGACTCAGCGGGTGATCACAGACTCAAACTCTCATTCACCATCGGTGCTGATTCTGCAGCGACAGCAGGTAGCTTACCTTGTTCTCCGAAATGTTGAGAATCCAGCCAGAATCGATCAGAAAACAGATTTGAGCGCTCATGTCAGCTGCTCCTCCTCTTGCTCCTCCTGACCTCCCATCTTCAGATAGGCTTAACAGGTGATTACCTACTGAACATGCAGGCGGCAGTCAGAAAGCGCAACGTGGAGCTGCAGGTGTGCGACTGACCTGACCTCTGAGAGATCGCATTGTTCCTGCTTCAAGCTTTAAGCCAACCAGTGGAATTTGTATTACTTTTATATTTTTTGACACGATCACACAATAATTATATTTCCTTCTGCATCAGTCTCACATTGTTCAGTTCATGTTTGAGCTATAGTTTTATTTTCTTAGATATTTGCAGCCTTACATCTCAGAAGTTATGTTAATCCAACTTGTTTGTTTGTTTTGTTTGTTTTAATCTGATGTTGATATTTTCACCCTAATGAGGATCTTGCTGATTTTTATTAAAAGTCAAGTTTTGAATTGAAACATTTTAAAAGTAGTTATTTTCTTATTTATTTCATTATTACCTCATTGTGTTTTACAACCACAAGATGAGGTAGTGACCTTATTGTTTTATTTTGGATTGCCCTGTGTGTTACTGATGTAGTTGGATGCTTTTACAGTAAAGTTCAGTTCTGCTTTTATTTGATTCTCATATAAAAAGTCCAAAACAAATAAGTTGTGAGCTATAATCTTTGTGAATACAACAACAAAAACTTAAAATAAAAGTATAATTAAGTATAATAACAAAAGTGAAAACTTCGAGGCACAATTACAAACGTGACATCTACTTCCGATTCATCATGGCGCAGGTGTTATTTCGTGGTTTAATTAGACGTTTTAACCTCTAATCGTGCCTTTTTTTGGGTAATGTATTGAAAAACTATCAAACTGTTCTCTAATCACATCAAATGTATTGTAGAATGGTGTGTTTTATGGAGTAATGACCGATAATGTGATATATTTTTCAGAACTTCAAGAGCTAACGATGCTAGTTGTAGCCTCCACCACAAACCATACCGGTGAGTTACCTAAACAAGTTATAATATTTAGCTTGTTAATATTGTTACCATTTTGGTTTTTGTCATTTTTGAAAACGTGAATGTTTGACAAGTTGTCCAAATTATTAGGTTGGTGTTTGATAATTAACATGCTAGGTTTAACAGATTAGCTTACTAGTGTTACTAAAACTCTCCAAACAGAAAGCGTTGTTGGTATTTTAAATCTTTTTCAACACTGTTATTTATTCTAAAGCCCTTTTTCTTATTTATTGCGTTCTTTCCACTTAAAAATGCGATTCTGCTTATGTTCCACTAGAGGGTGTCATTAAATCGTTGAATAAGTGGTGTTGAGCTGAAACTGGTTTAGTAACCAAAACCCTAATTTCAAGCACTATTATAGTGACACTCTATCTTACATAAAATTGATTAGTGGATCACTAAACAAAAAAGTTTTAAAAACTATAACTATTTGCACCATCTATAATTTATTTGGATGTGTGTAACATTTATGTAGTGCATCCCCTGGCATTTGTTTCATCTTCTTTGTTCAATTTTGTATGCAGTTTGTTTGTATACTTATCACCTTGTTCAATAAAGTTTTGAAAAAATAAATACATTTAAAAAAAGAGCTGAAACTGGTTTCTGGTGTTACGTCAATATTTTCCCCATCGCTGCCCTCCGCTTTGCTATTGAAAATTGGCAGTGTACATTATTAATAATCAATAATTATTATTATTACTTAATTGGCGTATTTATGTATTCAATCATTATGTGATTTTTGTGTTTAAGTCCAAATAATTTATTTTTAATGTTGAATTCCCCAAACAGACAATTGGCAAATACTGAACACACAAATCTAGAGCTGTTTTAGCAGTTAAATAAAATTACATGACAAGCATCGTTTAAGGGTAAATGCAGAAAAGCTGGTGGAGGAACGGGGGAACAAATCTCAATTTAACTGCAGACTTGGGTCCTAAACTAGTTATTAGTAGTGAATGACATTAATTCCACTTGAATTGATTATTCTGCTTTAATAACTAGCAAACCAATGATCGCGTCTCTTATTTAAACACTTTGATTGTTGGAATTAGGAAATACTTTGTGACATTTTAAAATCATCTCTGGCTCAGATGCATCATCTCAAACCGCAACTTGGGTTTTTGTAACTGAAAATAAAACCAAAATATATACTCCTAATGTTGCATCATGACTTTTAGCTTTGTTCTTTTTTTTTCTGCATGGGTTTTGCTTTTCACAACAATTTTACAAAATATTATTTATCATTGCAGACATTCTTGTATACCTTTCTGCTTATTCACCACATGGAGGAGTCAAAGCTACCCTCTGCAGCTATAAGTGATTTCCTCTTGATACATTTAACTGCGGTTATGTGTCCTACTAGAACTTTCCGAAAGGATTGTTTATGTTTACTGACAGATTGTTCCGTCACAAGAAAACAGGAAGTGTTTGTGAATTTCATCTGCACTTAAGTCATTTTTATTCACAGGAAATAGTTTTATTCTGACTCATGGGCGACTTGACACAAATCGTTTTAAAAAACAAAACAACTCTGGAAATATTCAAAAACTTTATTTATAAAAAAGGAAATAAAACTTCACAACAGCTTTGTAATAAACTAAACCTGACAAGTACATGTTTCTCTCTATATAATACACACGTGATGAGAGACAGAAATAATCTGTCATCACTGTTTTCACATTTCCTCTTTCCTGTGGTGTGTTCAGGACCGTCGCGCTCAGCTGGACTTTTTCATGACTTCTGTCTGGCCTCTCTAACTCGAGCCGTCGTTATTCTGCTCATGCAAACTCTGAAGTATTGGAGTGTATTTTCCCATAGACTCACCTTTTTAACTCAGTTTATGCTTAAAATATCGAAAAGTTACCAAAAATAAGTTCCAGTAAAACCAGATGTAGTCATTAGGTTCATAACTCCACACATGCATACACATCAGTCCGCCTAACGTGAAATTATAGAATGTTCACCAGGTTGCTGTTTCTTGCCTCTTCTGCCTACGACTGAATCCCATTTCTTAGTATCACCTGTTCTTCAACGTCTTCACCCCTTGGCCTTTTAAAAGGATTTCAACCATTTTTAAAAAATTTGGTGTAAAAGTTATAAATAACACTGATCTTACCCAAAGTGGAGGGCTTCCTGAAGAGCCTCTGTTCAGAGAAATAGAGTTTACATCTGACAGGGCTTAGTACAGTTATCAGTTCATTTACACTTGAGTATTATTCTAAAGATCTTAATAAATCTTAGTTGGACTTGACTCCTGGATGCACCAGAAGCATAAAATTTTTATATTTGTGGATGTAAGTAACCACAGAAGTTCTGAGAATGAAATGGAAAAAATCTTATTCTGACAATATTTATGTCAGTACTAAATCAGTGTTGTCTGTGTGTTTTGAATCATTTTAAATTATTGTTTTAGCAGATCCCAATCACTGGTTGTACTTTCTTGTTGTTTGCTAAATGTTTTTACATTGTTTTTAGTCCTTTATGGTTTTTGACATTTATTGTCATTTATTGTATTGTGCACTGTTGATGGCGGACCATCTGTAATTTAATTGCCATGAGCAATTACAATAAAGTCTATTCTATTCTATTCTATTCTGATACTCTATTTCTCCAAACTGAGGCTGTTCAGAAAGTTATTTAAACATGTATTCAGGTGATTTTTTAAAATTACTTTTACACAAAAACCAAAACTGATTTTATTTTGAATCTAAGTAATTAATAGATTCATCTACAAAACCGTGTATTTAAACAGACATGTCATCTTTATACGTTTCATCTTCTAGCTGGAACACATAAAACCAGACGTCATTATTATTGTAACCATCTAACTGGAGAACATATTTACAGTTGGGAAGCTCACACACCTCCGTCCATCACCATTCCCGTTGTTTTCCCTTTTATGTTCCATCACCATCTCACACCCACACCTTTCCCTTGCCGCCGCCGTCCCTCCCCCCGCAGCAGCCGGTGCCCAGACCTCGATGCTGCGTGGCAGGAAGGTTCTTGTACACGGCTCGGCTGTATGGGATGAAGCACAGGCCCAGCTGGAGGTGTCGGGCCAGGCGGCAGTACGCCGCCAGCGCCAGGACCAGCAGAGGGGTGACCAAGAGGAACCCCACCACCAGCAGCGCCACGCAGCCTCCGTCGGTCAGCAGGCTGGAGCAGTAGGGGATGGTGCCGTGGGGACGGACCTGTTGGCAGAGGGGTGAACCACTGTTAAATCCCACTGAGCTGTTTTGCTGTGAACAGATAAAACAGGAGGTGACGTTCCCTCTGTGGCATGCTCGGGTGAGGTGAAGACAGACCGTCTGAAATAAAACACACACTCTGATACCAGCTGTAGTTTATGTTGCCGGGCAACAGCGAGGGAGTGGGAGAGGAGGTGAAGGGATCAGGGTCTGAACGTGGGAGAGGAATGGAGACAGATGGTCCGAGTCCTCCCTATCGGCCTGCAGGAGGTGAAAGTTTGAGAGAAAAACCTTCAGGTGTCTTTGTTTTTGAGTCCTGGCAGTTTTTAATTTTAGCTGTGGTCGTTTTATATTTGCGTTTTCTAAATGCTGCGTTTGTGTCCAGATGTTTCTGAGCTGCTAAATCCTCAACATCCTCAGCCGCCAACCCGCTGGAGACGCAGCTGGAACATTTAGGAGTGGCTGAATCAACAGTTTGGTGCATCCTGAGGAGGACAAGCCGCTGAAAGATGTTTCCAAAGTACGTGCTAACGGGCTGCACGTCTCATCCTGATGATGATGAGGGTGCACAGAAGAATAATTAGAAACATGCAGGCCTGACTTTGCTTTTTTTAAATGAAACTAAATTGAAGTAAACTAAAAATGTTTCCATGATGGAGGTTCTTGTTCTGGAGTGGTTCTGTGATTATTATATCAGACGGAGTTGATCATTTAACCAACCCTTTGTTTCTGTCCTTTAAACTTCTTGTTCTGCCTTCAGCATGCCAGAGTCTGGTTAATCCCCCTAAGCTGCTGTCACATGAGCTTTTATTGTGAGGGAGCATGAGAATCTGGGTCTCTGGTCATTAAGGAGGTCGTCGACCTGTAGAAATACCTCTGACACGTTTTAAAATCTCTTGACCCTTTACGACCTTCATTACCGCCGACTCAGGATGATGCTGACATCTTAGAGCTGTAGCTGTTGGTCAGAGACAAAAATGGTGATAAAATCTGTAAACTACCAGTTTGAATTGGACTAAACTGGTACGTACAGCACTTTAGCTTGTAGACAGGGCACACAGGGCACGTGATGTAATCGCTAACAAATTTGAGATCTGTACAATATTTTAGTCACAAAATCCTCCCACATTACCAGATTTCTCTCACTTTTCTGGCTCAAAAGAAACTAAATGGTGAATATTTTGAGTGTCTGAAGTTCTGATCATACCTATGACACATACCGACAGCACAGGAACGAGCCCCTGCAACTCGTGGGGAAATGAAAGGCTCTCTGGAGACATGGTGGTGATTATCACCAAGGATGTTTGCTATTCGTCTCCCACAGTGACAGCCCAGACAGATGATGGCTGAACTGGACAGGCTGGTACTTTCCCTACAGGGAAACTCATTCTAAGCTAAGCCAGTTGTTGCAAACACACAAAAATGTCTCAGAACCTCGGATCTGTCATGCGTTGACATGCTGAGTGAGAGGAGCAGTAGCTGGAAGAGTTGGATTTAAAACATGTGTATGGTACGTAAACCAATGCAGATAATTTCACATACTTTAATGTCAATACGATCATATTGGACATCCTTAATCTCGTTAATTAGAAGTTTTAAATCTTTTTTTGTCCTCAACAATTGTTCAAATTCGAGAAGAACGTGTAATTGTGTTATTATTCATGAATAAGCCACGGCCTAGGCCACGTACAGATATATGAAAACCAGTTTATTAAGATTTCAACCACAGTTTCTCCAACTAACGAGCAGACTCTAAAGTCTCAGGGCCTGCGTCCTGGACTCCAAGCTCCTCGCTCCAAACTCAACATCTGAGAGAACTTGAGATTTATCTGATTATGAAATCTCTCATCAGAGATGGAGCCAAACTCCACCCTAAGCCCCAAGCACAAATATTTCAAACTTCTTGATCAAAGTTGTGAGATTAAGACTTCTAGAGGTTCCATAACAGGATAGATGCCGCCAGCCTCCTGATCCTTACATCTCTTTCTGTCTTGAAAAGAAGTTCTGCTGGGTCAAAAATGATAAATGAAACAAAGCGTAGGACTTGAAACTGATTCAGAATAAAAATGATAAAGAAAACAAGGTTTCTCTTATGTTTTCATGCTCATACCCCCTTGTCCCACCTGTGTCTCCTACCGTAGAGTGGCAGAGGAATCCAAACACCACCATGACCATGGCCGGAGTCAGGATGGTGCCAAACACCATTCCGGCGAGGCAGCTGTTGATGGCAGCGATCACCAGGTTCTGGGCCGTCACCAGCACCGAGCAGGCCCAGCAGTCCAGCGACCCCCGCAGCTCCAGCGGAGCCTCGCTTCCTCCACCTCCGCTCTCCGCCGCAGAATATGGAGGAGGTATGACCACACGAGAAGGGGTTTCTCTCCCTCCACCCATAGCAGTGGTGGAGGCAAGAGAGTTGGAGTGGTGGAGAAGCTGCTGGTGGTTGGCGTGGTGGTGGAGGTGAGGCGGCAGCTCCTCTGAGAGGTCCAAGGCTTGGTGGTGAGCTCCTCTCTCCAGTGTACCGCTTAGACTCATGGTGAACTAAGAGGAGGAGAGTTATAATTAAAGGAATCGGGAGATCCAATGAAACAGTTCAGGTTCACAAAGAGTGGAGATCTTTATCTGTCGGGAAGTGTGTGAGGTGATGATTATCAGCTAGCTGATTGGTCCAAAGGAAAGAGGCTCATAATTACCAGTTGTGCCTTGTGTGATTATAGAGATGAAGAATGTCATCCTCGGTCCTTTTTGTGTTGCTGTTGTTCACAAGTGTACCGCCATGGTGAACGATTTACCAAGCCACAGTTTTCTCAAAAGTGTGCCGCTTTTGGCTCAGTTTCTCAGATTATTTCCAGCATTTCATACATTTCAATGGCTTTTATTGACAATTACGTTAAGTTTATGCAGAAGGTCCATATTTACAGTGTCGGTGCTTCTTTTTTCTGACGTGCTTTCAGTCACCCCAGTGGCGTAGCAAGTTGGAGCTGGACCCCGGTGCAAGTGTTGCTTTAGGCTGTCACTTATTGGAGTTTGTTTCTGTTTGTCCACCCTGATTAGGATTGATAAGTTCTCACCTTAAGGTAATTTCCTGCATGTGGATCCAAAGTTTTGATCTTTTGCTTCTTAAACTGCTTAAGTTCAGACTAGACCCTTACACCTCAATGCTCCACCATGCTGGAAAAATCATAGTTCATTACCAAACTGTTCATGTACAGGTGCTGGCCAGTAAATTAGAATATCATCAAAAGGTTGAAAATATTTCAGTAATTCCATTCAAAACGTGAAACTTGTACATTATATTCATGCAATGCACACAGACCAATGTATTTCCAATGTTCATTACATTTAAATTTGATATTCATAAGTGACAACTAATGAAAACTCCAAATTTGGTATCTCAAAAAATTAGAATATTCTGAAAAGGCTGAATATAGAAGACACCTGCTGCCACTCTAATCAGCTGATTTACTCAAAACACCTGCAAAGGCCTTTAAAAGGTCCCTCAGTCTTGTTTTGAAGGCACCACAATCATGGGGAAGACTTCTGACTTAACAGCTGTCCAAAAGACAATCATTGACACCTTGCACAAGGAGGGCAAGACACAAAAGGTGATTGCTAAAGAAGCTGGCTGTTCGCAGAGCTCTGTGTCCAAGCACATTAACAGACAGGCGAAGGGACGGAAAAAATGTGGTAGAAAAAAGTGTACAAGCTCTAGGGATAACCGCACCCTGCAGAGAATTGTGACGACAAACCCATTCAAAAATGTGGGGGAGATCCACAAAGAGTGGACTGCAGCTGGAGTCAGCGCTTCAAGAACCACCACGAGGAGACTCATGAAAGACATGGGATTCAGGTGTCGCATTCCGTGTGTCAAGCCACTCTTGAACAAGAAACAGCGCAAGAAGCGTCTCGCCTGGGCCAAGGACAAAAAGGACTGGACTGATGCTGAGTGGTCCAAAGTTATGTTTTCTGATGAAAGCAAGTTCTGCATTTCCTTTGGAAATCAAGGACCCAGAGTCTGGAGGAAGAGCGGAGAAGCACAGAATCCACGTTGCATGAGGTCCAGTGTAAAGTTTCCACCGTCAGTGATGGTGTGGGGTGCCATGTCATCTGCCGGTGTTGGCCCACTCTGTTTCCTGAGGTCCAGGGTCAATGCAGCCGTCTACCAGGAAGTTTTAGAGCACTTCATGCTTCCTGCTGCTGACCAACTTTATGGGGATGCAGACTTCACCTTTCAACAGGACTTGGCACCTGCACACAGTGCCAAAACCACCAGCACCTGGTTCAAGGACCATGGTATCCCTGTCCTTGATTGGCCAGCAAACTCGCCTGACCTTAACCCCATAGAAAATCTATGGGGTATTGTGAAGCGGAGGATGCAATACGCTAGACCCAACAATGCAGAGGAGCTGAAGACGACTATCAGAGCAACCTGGGCTCTCATAACACCTGAGCAGTGCCACAGACTGATCGAGTCCATGCCACGCCGCATTACTGCAGTTATTGAGGCAAAAGGAGCCCCGACTAAGTATTGAGTGCTATACATGCACATTCTTTTCATGTTCATTCTTTTCAGTTGGCCAACATTAGAGAAACAAACATTTTTTCATTGGCCTTTAGGATATTCTAATTTTCTGAGATACCAGATTTGATGTTTTCATTGGTTGTCACCTATAAATATCAAAATTAAACGTAATAAACATCGGAAATACATTGGTCTGTGTGCATTGCATGAATATAATGTACAAGTTTCACGTTTTGAATGGAATTACTGAAATATTTTCAACCTTTTGATGATATTCTAATTTACTGGCCAGCACCTGTATGGTTGGGAGGAGTTCTCCTGGGAAGATGGTTTGGTACCATTCTTTCTTCTTGTGCTAAACTCTTGTTGAATCCAGTCCCCGCCCCGGGCAGAGAAACGACTCTCATACAAATTTTCTCATTCCTCAGAAGTTTCTTTTGACGGACTCTTTAAAAAATGAATGGGAATCATTAGAGAAAAACAGTTCCCACCATTCTGAGCCTTTTGGCACACAAATAAAAATACTTAGTTCTAATACCCACCATCAGATATGTGACCATTACCTCAACAAGATAAAAATGGAAGGTTCTTCTAAGCTTGTAGGATGTTGAACTGTCATTGTTTCAGCCAAATTTCTACTTGGGACTTGTTCTCAGGATTTGTATTTCCAGATCTGATGCCAGACCTTCCATGAGAGCTCTGTTTTGATCCAAGATTCCTTAGTTTGAATTCATCCCATCTTTGGACAGATTTCGTGCGGTAGGCAGCCGTGTCTGGTACAGGATATCCTCACCTCTCAGAGATCACGAGACAGGCAGGGATGACACAATAAAAACAAAACCTCACCAGTAGCAATTTATTGACACTCACGTTTTTATGGTGTGGTGATAGTTTGCATCAAACGCAAGAATAAGTAGATTATATCACAAAGGCATAAAAGTTCTACATTTAAACAGGATGTTTATTTTCAAAAGGGCAGTTACGGCGGCACAGCATGTCACAATTCAGTCATCATTGCAACATTTTTTAAATAAATAAAAAAACTGCTTCTGCTGCAAATATTTCATGTATTTCTGCTTCTATTTAGTGGACTCTCGCTGCCCAAGATGCCCAAAACCAGTTGAAATGATAGTCTGGAGGCTTTAAGGGATAATTTGCAACTTTTTCATATTTTTAATAATTTTCTTGAGCCAGTATGCACTGTAGGGTTAATGAAAGGCCACCCGGCCCCTATCACTCCCTGAGGCCAGAATATCGCACTTGCAACTTTACAGTTGCCAGTCTGGTCTGCTGGGACTTAGAAAACATTGAGCTGAGGTACTTGAGGCTGCTGTCTGACTTCAGCACGTTTCCTGCATGTTTTAGATCATGAACCCAGCTGATTTGTTTAATTTAGGGATGAATCACTCCTCTAGACACTTAGGAACGCTGGGAGACGTTTCAGCTGTTAGATTAAGGTGTTAAAAAGGTGAATGCACAGCGAGGAGATAGTTTTAAACGAACACTAGGGGGTGCTAAAAGCAAGCAAAACTGCTTAGTATCCCTTTAAAATGCGCCAGCATTGTGATTACAAAACATAGATGTACTAAACGAGAGTGAGGAAAATGAGGATTTTTGGAACTTATACTGTCATGACAACATTCAAGAATACCACAATAGCATTTTTCCTATTATCGTACAACTCTAGTGACAGTTTGATATCTGCAAGGCTGATTCAAATGGAAGGCTGAGTGTCATCTGCATAAACAATTATACTGGATATTGTTAAAGGGCTTTCACCACCAGCAACCATTTAATACTTTAACTTTATGAGATACAGTCTCTGAGTTGCTTAAGCATGCTGGTCTTTGAAACATTTCTCCCATTAACCTGCATTAACCAGAGAAAGTAGGTAGAGGCAGAAATGCTCTTGGGTCAGGTAAAGCCAGTCTTTTGTATGTCACAGAGATATTTAACATTTGTGGGCTTGTCCATCTTGGCTTGTGACTGCCTACAGAAAGGAGAGAGCAGTAGTAGCTAACCCTTAGCATTAGCAACTCCACAATATGGCAGAACACATTCAGGCTTGTGTTGTTTGTGGAGATAAAGCATCAATATTTATTTTTTTAATTCAACCAAATAAGCATACAGTATTCTGAGTTTTGTCATGATGGCAGGGAAAGAGTTGCGTTGCTGTTAGCCAATCAGAGACGAGACGTTTCCTGAAACAGAAGCACCAGAACTTTTTTCTCCCCATAGAAAAACAGCTCTCAAGGCATTCATTCATACTAGAGACCGCACCAAATTTATCTAAAAACAAGTGAATTACTTCTGTAATTTGAATAAGTTGAGGAGTAGAGTTATAGTAGGAAACAGAAGAGGGCCTAAGCCTGGGCCCTGAGGTACCACTCATATCAGCTGTATCTTCTGACAGAGCAATCCTACTGAATTGCCATTAGCCACATAAAAAAGCTCCTGCATCTGAAAAACCAAGCATTATGCCCTGTGTGCTGTTGTTGCCTTAGTGAAGTGAGGTTAAAGGTCAAAATACTCTTCTTATTGTTTAAATAGAAGACAGATTAAATATCTGATTATTTATTAATTTACTCATTAAGATTTTCCATCCATCCATTGTCTGAACCCGCTTGTCCACGTAGGGTCACGGGGTGACTGGTGCCTATCTCCAGCGGTCAACGGGCAATCAGACGGGGTACACCCGGGATAAAGAGCCAGTCCATCGCAGGGCAACACAGAGACACACAGGACAAACACTCACGTACACGCACGCACACACACACACACACACACACACACACACACACACACACACACACACACACACACACACACACACACACACACCTAAGGACAATTTAGACAGACCAGTTAACCTAACAGTCATGTTTTCGGATTGTGGGTCATTAAGATTTTGTTGACTCAAAATTTCCCTGATGCTCTGATCTGTATATTGATTTTTTTTACTTACTTTATGAAAAATGAATTGGATCTAATGGCCTCTTCAGAGTCTAAATCGGAACCTTCTGTCCGTATTATCACTCAATAATATAGACTACGTAAACCAGAGAACCCCTGATTTGACTGGGTTAGATAATCCTGAGACGATGTTTCAGCTGTAATGTGCTGGAGGGTGTAAAAGGTTTAATCTGACAGTTGACACGCCTCAGCGCATCAGGATGCTATTCTTTTCTTCTGTAATCTGGTACAAAGAAGCTCAAACACATCAGTGTCTCAGGATTTGGAGATTTAGACTGAAGATCAGTCAGTAATGTTAATTAGATGTATTAATATATCTTATTGAATAATATGGAGCAGCTTGTCTTCTACTCACGTTATGCTGCGGGGCCCGCTGGACCTGTTGCTGTTCGTCCTCCAGATTGTCTCGACTCGTCTTCACTTCTCCTGAAGATGAAGTCTTCCACAGATCTAGTCACTAACAAAGCGCTCCTCTATCTTCCTCCAGTCTTTCCCCGTGGAGATTCTCACTCTTATCTGCTCGCTCCGCTTCCTGCTGGCTTGTCTCAGCTGTCAGGAGAGTTGAGCAGAGGAGCTCCTGAAAATACTGGAACCCACAAAAGCTGTGGTCTTTGTTTTAAGTATGTCAGACCTCTTAACTGCCCTCCTCCGCTTTTTTTACCCCCTGCCCACCCATTTGATTGAGACCACAGCTCTCCTCCTCCTCCTCCTACACTCCCTGCATCACTTTCTCCCCACCCACCAGACTTTATCAGCCCCATGCACTGCTCCTCTTGGTGCACACATTCCTCTGCTCATATCCAGGACATGCTACACCCCCTTTACCCTCTCCCCGCTGCAGTGGGGGCTGGGTGCTTGTGTGTGTGTGTGGGGTCAGCGTGAGGTGGCTGGCCTGATAAGTTGAGGTTCAGGAGAGCAGAAACCAAGGGGGAAGGGAGAGCTGCCGTGTGTCTTCTCTGCTGACCACGGTTCTCAGTTTTCGCTGCATGAAGTCAAAAACTGATGTCCGGGTTAAAGAAGAGTGATCATAACGCGTTGGGAGGATTAAACGTGCATCGTCAGGAGTTTTATTCCCAAAATAAAGAGCAGCAGAGGATCCCAGGAGCATGATGAAAACACACAACCACATGATAAAAGATCACAGCATGTGCTCAATAATTAGTCCTGTCAGATCCTGATTTTCCACCCTTTTTCCTCTGCTTTGAGCTTTCCTGTGTTTGTTTACTCCCAGCGCACTCCCGTAAACCTGAAGACATCAGAGGACAGCTGTAAACAGTGCGACCACATCTTACAGAAGCTACTTTCATGTGAAAATAGATAAAATAGTTGTTGCACAACAATCTCCGCTCTCGTGTTTTCATTTAGAGTTTAAACAAACTTCAGAGTTCTGATCATCGTGATTGCACCGCTGGCTGGTGTTTTGTCTTGGCAGAGAGGAGGACGTGAACCCTTATCACCACCTGCCTGCAGTGGGGTGGACAGATAGACGGACGGAGATGGTCTTCCTGTGCGTTTCAAGCAGGATTTCCTTCAGCCTGACCCTCCGCTGGCCCTTTGGCCTCCAACCTGACCAGAGGACATGGCCACCTGCCAAAACTCTTAAATTTGTACAAAACCTTTAAATAAAGTCGCCCTTATGAGCCGGAGAAACGTCCCGTTCTACAGGTGTTTGTATAAAACTGTCTGAAGATGCATCATTGCGTTATTCTGGCTTCCCGTTGGATGTGTAGGGTAATGCACACGTTTTCGCTGCGGCCTCAGCAGCACCTCCCTTCCTTCCAGAAGGGGTTAAGACACTCCGTGGCTGAGAACACGTTCCCTGAAGCAGGTCCCACAAGATCACGTGTGATTTCCCAGTTCACACGATAGCAACCAGAGTAAACCCATGTGCACACGTAGCTGGGTATCCCACAAACGGAAATATCTTCCTACGATTTGTCCTGCCATCCACATGAAAGTGAAGATAAACGGCACCAAAAACGATTCTTTCAAAACCTCGACCAAGGTGGAGGAGTGGGAAATCTGTCGTCGGCATTTGCCTGTAGATGTAAATAACCAGGTTTTAGGTTTCTCAACGTCGACAAAGTGCTCGAACATCACTTCGCACTCGCTCACTCATTTCTCAAGCTCAAAATCTGCTCCAGGAAACCACAGGGAAAAGACGATGTTAAAGACGGTCCAAGAGACGTTTTTCAGCAAAGACACCAAAGATTTGAGGAACTACTGCTGCCTACAGGCTCGGCGTGCCTATGTATGAGCCTCACAGTCCAGGGAGGATACGTCGTTTGCACATGGCCTAAGACGTCACCTTGTGTCCCAAAGGTCTGTGGTTTGTGTTCTCTCACCTCGACCAAGGAGGCGCCGCAGGCACCAACAGTTTTTTAAGAAATTATTTGGAGTCAGTTGGATACTTTACACTCCTCCTGATTTCCTGTCTGTTCCGATCCAAACTGCTGAACTTGATGTGTTCTGGAAGCGTAGTGTGTAAAATGTGGACCCAGAAGGTCGGTTTAGCAGAGTGCTGCGACACATCACTTCTGTGACGTGTCTGAGACGCTCCTCTCCAGGAAACAAACCCATTGATGCTAACAGCAACACTTTGGTAATGCTCACCCGTGGTGGAAAGCTGGGCTTGTTGTGGGTCATTCTTCTATATTCTCCCTCCTCCTTTTGGCTCTTTATTCTAACGTTTCAGTGCCGTCCACATTTTGTTTGGACTTTGACTTCTCAGTCCAGGACCTGAACCATTTTAGACAGTTGGGTTCTGCTAGGGGGCTTAACTACGAACCATGTAGGCATAACAATCCTAAACTCAAAGGATGAGCCAGTGTTGACTCCAAATGCTAAAACTTATTAAGTAATCCAGCCATGAGCTAGTCGATGTTTATTGCCCTCAACGTTTGAGTATGTTGAGCAATCGCATTTCTTTAGCAGCAACGTTCATTGGTTTGGTTTCTTCTACTTGGTTTTAATTGTCTGTTGTTCTTCATGTTCTTGTTTCACTTTAGTGAAGTTTGGTTGTTTTTGTGTGCTGTACAAATAAAGTCTGACGTTTACTGTAGGAAAACAGAACCTTCATATTTTTATGAATATATTGAACAAAGGATGTTATTTCTGCTCTTGGACTGAATGATGTCCAGATAAAACTTTGCGTTGCTGCTGTTTTCTTTGTATGAGGCCCAGAAATCCGACTCCATTTTTAATTATCAGGGAGGAAACTGGGATTTGGCAGTTTAGTTTCAGCGCCTTGCTTCTTCCTGCTCTGCTGCTTGTACAGCCTTCTTCCTTAGTTTACACACATTTAACCAACAATCATGTCATGGCTTTAGATTTGAGCTGCTTCGTAGTGTGAGTGGGATGGCAATGACAGCAGATTATTATTAATAAACTAAAATCCTATTATGTTGGGAAATGATGGAGTTGTGTTGTTTTGGTCAGAGTGTGTTTTGAACAAGTCCGCTAATACAGGAACAGATGTTTAGCTCAGTATGTGTAACGCTGACCGGGTTATAATCATGTCTGTGTTTGTGGATTAAATGTGGCGGCCATCTTTGACTGATTTCAAATGTTAGTCAGTTATAGATTTCAAGTCTTTTAAACTCTTTTAAAGCAAATAGTAAAAATGGTCCGGTGATGTGTTCAAGTTTATTTTTTATTCTCCTCGGATTCTGACGTTAGTGGAACTAGGGGTGGGCAATATAAACGATATAAGGTAGAAATGATGTAAAATTGGGTAATAAGTTTTTGAATCTACCACGATATCGCAATAACACATGATGTCACTAAGATGTGCACCCGCGTCAACACTGGAACAACAGAATGGCAGTGACTGCAAGCATGGACGTAATTTGGGGGGGGGGGGGGGGGGGGACATGCTCCCCCACCCCCCCACTTTTTCCAAAGTCAAGTTTTGACCCCTGCACTTTTTACCATCCAAAAACAATATTACGCTATATTAAATTGACACAGGTTGAGCTCTAGGACCAAGCAGAAAACAACCGTTTGTTTTGAAGCCTGTTTCCCATTAGAGCATACTGTAAAGATACCCCCCCCGTGTCCCCCCCACTTCTAAAGTGAAAATTACGTCCATGACTGCAAGCATGTAGCGGGAGGAGGAGGAGCATTATTCTACACTTTTTGGACTTCTTTATTCTGCTGCAATATATTTTCCATATGAGGATTTTTTAAAGCGTGTCATTTTGACAAAAATAAACAAAGGAAAAAAATATATTGTGGTATATATTGTAATCGCACATGCTTCAGATTATATCGCCCAGCCCTAAGTGGAACAAACATGGGGGAATTCTTCCACTGGTTCTTCATTTTAGTTTGATGTTTCCGGTGCTGAATGCTGACCCGGGGTCTGTAAGAACTTCTTAGAAGTGTGTGTGTGTGTGTGAAAGAATATAATTGTTGAAATTCCTAATAAATTCCTTTAGTAGTAATGGGGAGTTTAAATGCCAACAGGAAACTCTGACTGGAGACCGTTCCCTCCCACCTAAAACAGCGCCGTCCCAGCTTTTCTCCACGTGGATCTATTTAGTCAGTCCTGCAGTACGTGCAGGTCATATTTAAACATTAAGAAAATGTGCAGATTCATATGGAGATTTTTATTTTGACATATGCAAATTAACCAGTTAGTTTTTAATACTTTTGTTGGATTGTTTGTTTTGTTTACAAAACAACTGGATTAAATTTTGATCGGTTTACCTCACAGTTGAGATTAAAAGTACAAGGAATAGTTTGTAAAAGATGAATGTCTATCATTTCATCAGCCTTTGTCATTTTAAAGATGCTTGTTGGTGTTTCTTAAATCAGACCTTACATTAACCAAATCTTACCCCCCGAGACACATCGCCAACAAACGGGCCCAGTAGATTTCTCAGTGAGTTTGACTCCTTAATGAAAGTTTAATATCTTTATGATCCAATCAGAGATGCTTGTGAGTAAAACCCAAAGCCCTCTTGTTAGGAGAAACAATGTAAAGGTTGTTGGTGTCCAATCCAACATGTTTTAGGCTTTCTTCTTCTAAATACCTGATTTTGATCAGCCAGTGATACACAGCCAAGTCAACCATTAAACCAGGAGCATTGGAGCAGGAAACCACTAGAGCGTGCTGGTTAGGGGCCAGGGTTGGACACCGAGTTAAGACAAATATTCAGACAGGTTCTACTCTCCTGAATTTATCAAGTGTTTATTTTATTAATATTCATAATATTGTCACACAAATTCACAAGTGTTTTAAGACATGTCTGGCTCAGTTTGGTGAGTGTGTGTCTGCGAGTATGCCTGTGTGAAACTCTAAACAGTGCAGTTATAAATAAATGAGCACAAAGAGAAGAAGTGTAAGGTAATATTGCAACAGGAAAAATAGAAATCTCATTTTAAAAGAAAAGGAAAACATTGTTCAAAGAGAACATTTAGCACCATCTATCCCGTTATCATAAAAATCTCATCTAAAAGCCCCCTACTGAGTAAAAAAATTACAATATCTCAAAACACTTTGTATCCTCATTATGGAAAAGAAACATTTCCAAACACAGCATTTCCATTAGTCCTCTTTTCTACGTGAGCAGTGTGTCTATCGCCTACAGGAAAGGTGGTGTTATATCCAAGATAAAGATTTCATTCAGGAGAAGCACCAGAGAATCAGCACCCTCAGCGTGTGGAACAAAACCATACAACCCCGTCCAAAGGGAGAACAGTAATGTCCAATAAATAGAAGAAACATTTTAAATTAAATGTACAACGGGCAAAAAAATCCAGAAAAATCTGCATATTTGAACAGAGGTAAAACACACACACACACACCAGGACAGGTTTTTTCCTTTTTTTTTAGACTTGGTTTATAAAGATTTAAAAGGAGAACACAAAGACCTGATGACAACCGAATATTAATCTCCAGAAGGAATAAAGTGTAATTCATAAAAACAAGATTTACAACAAATACAAGCCTCAAAGAGCGATTGGTCCCCCCACCCCTGAAAAATAACCACCAGTTTGCTAAAACCCGTATATTTTGAAGCATTCCGAACAATTGTATTTTTTAAAATACTTAATGCTTTAGAAAAATGTTCATATCTCTATTATTAGTATTTTCATTTCATCTCTTTTCTAAATACAAGGCCAATGTGGTATATATCTAGGCTGATCTAGTTGAGAAAAAAACACAGACAGCGCCCCATGAAAACAACTTCAAACAGCATTTACAAATTTCAGTATTCAAGACAGAGGCGCCATTAAATCCGACTGTTAGCCTCCAGTTTGTTCACTGGCAGCACCAGCTGCCCCGTTTCCAGGGGTTCAGCTTGAAAGCACCATCTGAGAGTAAACTGGTTTTGTTGGTGGCTTGGGTTTTCTTTTTGTAAACAGTAACGAGTAAACATATTCGGCTGGCTGTTCGGCAAGTCGTAGCAGTAGCAAAAACGATGGTAGGTGATGGAAAAGTGGAAACCGTCTTTTTGTCCTGGCTAGCAGGAGTTTTGGTTATGGCTGAGGAGATACTGAAGAGGAGCTCTGTCACCGAGATGAGGAAGCCTGGGAACAGGAGGAAGACGGTTAGCGATGGGAATGTAAGAGGAGAATCTCAGGATGGATGGGGGGTGTGCTCACCAGGCTGAAGGAGTCGTACACGTTCATGAGCTCCTCGATGCGGTACTGCTCTAGCACCACGACGTTGGTCAGGCTGGGGTTGCGCTGATGGGCGCAGTCCTCACAGTGAACCACGTACGTCTTTCTGCTGCTGCTCTCACAGGTCACAAACAGCAAGTTAAACACCTCTACCTGTCGAGGGACACAAGCGCAAAACTTTGTTAAAGGAGTCGTTCACTAGTTTAATCAATACATTTGCAGTGGTCTCTAGTAAGAATGAATGCCGAGAAGTTGTTCTCGGGGATGAATGATATACCGGCGCACCGTTTCTCTGAACTAAAAGTTGCCCACATTACAGCTGAGCTACAGACAGCAGGATTTGGAGTCTTTATGATAGTTGGACATCTCGCCTCGGGCAGGATAACAGCAACGCAACACCGATGTTTCATCTCCACAAATAACAAGCCTGGAGGAGCTTCTGCTGTGTGGTGGAGTTGCTAATGCTAATGGTTAGCTTCTGCTAGCCTAGATGTTTTCTGCCGATTTCCGGACGCTAAACCAACAGCAGCCTTCCCCGTCGTGAGTCGAGATGGGTGAGTCCATGAATGTTAGGTGACAGTGTGACGTAGATCTGTCAGGATTTTCTAATCTTAAGAGTTTCATCGTCTATTTTCTATCAGAAGCTAAAGCAGGAGATAGGTGTAGGAGATTATTTTCATGTTCAGCTTGCATGAAGAGTGCCCGACTGTAATCAGAAATAACGTTTTAGAAATGTTTTTTCAGGCACCCACACCTTTAAGAATGTGCCATTAATGTCTGACTCACTTAGTGGAGGTCTGTTAAAGATGGAAAAGTACGTCGTTTTCTTGCTAGCTAGATTTTGACACAATTACAAGGTCCAAGCCACGCCTCCAAAATACAGGGACGTGTAATACTTGCCCTTGGGGGTTCAGTTTTACATTTCTGACCCATTGTTGGGACTTTCTATATTATAATTAGTAGTGTAACGCACCTACTTACTCGTATAACAATTTACTGTACAGGGTGGCGTTTTTTTTAATCAATTTCCCTCTGGGATTAATAAAGTATTTGTGAGTTGAATTTGAATTTATGTTGACAATCCAGTGGAGGGAAGGACTGTCAGAGGGCATTTTGGTGGATGGATCAGGATCAAATCATTAAGAATGTCCCGTTCAAACTGACAAAACACTTCATTTACTGTTTGCCGTTGGTATGTGGAGCGCAGTTGAAGCACAATGGCAAGTAACGCTCCAGAAAAACATCCTTCGCTGCACTTTTAGACGGGCGACCAACAGCTACTCACATCACACTCGTTGCAGTAGTAGGCGGGCTCATCTTTGACCCGGCTTTGATATGAAATCTTTTTGCCTTCAGCCACCAGTTGGTCCCGCAGGATCTGGATGTGCTTCATGGACTGCAGCAGGCAGTGTCTGGTAAGACAAGAGATTGTTGGTGAAGCCCATTTTATTTGTTTGAAAGACAGAATTCACTGTTTATCAGTAACTACACTTACTTGATCATCTTGTAGGTGTCCGGGTCGGTGATCTTGAGAGTCCGCGCCACATTCCAGGACACGTGAATCATTGGAACAATGGATTTGACCTTCTTCACTTCGTTCCACTCAAACCTCTCCAAGGCCACCTGATACTGGTAACCTGCAGAATAGAGTTTCTAGAATAAAGCCACCGGTCTTGTTGGTGTAGTCTAGATTTGGGCCACTAGATGGCACACACTTACCATTGAGAGGACCGACATTCCAGGCGATGTTGTTGCACCAACCCACAGCCTGAACCCAGTGAACGGTACCAGCGTTGATCCACACCAGGTCTCCAGGTCGCTGGATGAAGCGATAGACTGGGATGTTGGCGCTGTACAGGTCTTCCAACACCGGCCACCAGGACCCTGTCAAGTAGTCCACTCCATGCCTGAGGACAAAAGTAGGAATCATTTTTAAAGTATTCGGAACATAAATGTTGTAAAGAACCCAAATGTTCCTCCACTCACTTTTCACAGAAGTCACTGATAGCTCCCCAGTAGTTCTCATGCACACAGAACCACTCACAATCTCCTGGGCCAATGTTGATGTTTACCGAGCAGAAGTTATTATTCTCCTGGTGACCTGTTGGATAAAAGTACTGTGTAAGTAGTAGTTCTGGGCCTTAATCCACAACTGGACTGTGTTTCCTGTAAATGCTAGCGCTCCTTACCTGGCGTTCGACTCCCAGGAACCTTCATGTAGAGCTGGACGCTGTTCATGCCCAGGATGGTGTGTCCCACGTGGCTTAACATGTTTCCACTGGAGGACACTCGCATGAATGCTGGAAGCTTCTGCAGCTCCTGGAGCTGGGGCTTCCACCTGAACAGAGACAGCAGATATTAACTCTACTTTGAGCTTTGCTTCCTTGTGTACCGTGTTTAAGCTACAAGCTGGCGCTTACCTCTTGGGGTCAGAGAGGTCAATATTAGTGCCAAATTTGATGATCTTCCCAGTTGGTTTCTGCTCACCACTAACAACGAAAACATCCAACCATTAGAATCCACGTGGAAACTCTCCAGTACCCAAACGTTGTGCTGTAAGCGTCATACGTACTTGCTACTTTCTTTAGAGCCGTCTTTGTTAGTGTCAGTGCTAAGGGGTGGCTTCTTTTCATCGTCGTCATCCTCCTCGTCACTGCCTTTCTCCTCCTGAAGACTCTCCTGAAAGCTGGAGGCCTGGTACTGGGCGTACTTGGCAATGGTAGTGTAGGATCTGCTGCTCTCGCAGGGCCACGTCTGACCCGTACCAGTCGAGTTCCAGTTTTCATCAGCTGGTTGCTGCACTTGGGTCCTCACCTCCACTGCCTGCTCAGCATTCGCCTCCACAAGGGACTTTGTAGAAAACAGGCCCAAATCTGAAAACGTGGAAAAAATAAAATCAGTAATTTACAAACCACTATTAAATATCTTCATAGGTTTTCTGTGCAGTGATGTGAACGTACTGAGTCGAAGCGATCCAGCCAGGCCTCTTATGACAGTAACAGGATTCTTTGGGTCTGTGCAGAACTGCAACAGGACTGGGGAGATGGCATCCCTCTTACTCTCCAACTGCAAGGAAGAAAAGGTAGCAAGTAAACGCAAGGTTCTCGGCCGTCCAGGCAACGGTAATGCTGGTAGGTTCCAACAAAGGCCATGCTTAGTCATGATTTTAGAAGAGGTGGAAAACTGAAAACACCTCTTCCAGATGTTGGGTTTCTCATTTTTGACTTTTGGTGTCCGCCAACTAAGTGAACACCAGTCTGGACAAATCACGGAGTCAAAAGAGCACTCAGCGATTTAAAAGCTTCAGAAGCCCCAGACCCAAAGTCTGTTTACCTTTGATTGGACTTGCTAATTTACTTTCTGGGGACTGTTCACCAGAAGAGGGCAACACATGTTTTTAATGTCCTAGGTTAGTGCTATTTAATTCCAGGCCTCAAGGGCCGATGTCCAGCCCGTTTTAGTTTAACCTTGCTTCAACACCCCTGATTTTCTTTTTCACTCTCTCTCTCAATCAGCAGGTGACTAACAAGCTTCTGCAGAGCCTGACGAGCTGCTGCACAGGTGATCCAACCACTGAATCTAGTGTGTTGGACTGGAGAAACCACTAAAACGTGCTGGGTACCGGCCCTCAAGGCCCAGAATGGAATAGCCCTGTCCTAGGACTTGTCAGAAGTCAATTAAAAACATTTGACCATAGACAGAATGATGACGTACGTATATGCTGGGAGTAGGAGGGTTGAGTTTCTCTCTAGGAATGGGCACCTCTGAACTCATTAAGGGTTTAACAGAGAAGGCTGGCAGCAGGTAAGATTCCTTAAATTTCCCTTTGACGTGAGCGCCCCTGGAACAGAACCAAGGATGATTAAAACTGAATGCAACAGTAAGAGTTTTAGACGTGATGCTGAACTGTGGCGAACTTACTTGCAGGAGCGGATAATTTCACTCGCCGTGTTCTTGATGCTGATTTCCTTCAGAGGAATCCTCTTCTCCTCCACCTCAGAAGCGATGAAGGTCTCCCTGTCGCCGCTCTCCACTTTGATCAGGCGGATCTTCAGCTCCTTGGGGGGGCCGTCTGAAAGCGCCTTTAATTTCAACAAGTCTGTGGAGCCCAACGATGAACCCGAAGTGGCACCATTTTTATGTTCGGAAGATCTTTCCTCCAAGCTGGAGGTCCATTCTACGTGCTCTCCTTCACCGGTGGAGCTGGCACCAGGTGCATCTTTACGTTTCTTCTTGTCCGCCTCGTAATGACACCTGCTCTTCTCTGACTCTCGCATCCGGTGACTGAGATCACTGAGACTTCGGCGATCCTTTTTGCGGCTCTTGCCGTCCTTGTGCCGCTTGCGGCTGGAGTGGGAATGGCTGGACGACGAGGATGATGAGGAAGAAGAAAAGCCATCTTTCTTGTCTCTGTGCCTTTTCTTTTCCTTCTTGTCCTCGTGCTTCCTGCCGCTGTGGCCATGCTTTCTCTTCTTGTCCTTGTGCTCCTTTATTTTCTCATGTTTGTGTCGGTCCTCAGACTTGCTGTGGCCACTGGGGTTTTCCAGCGACCGCCGGCAGAGAATGACTTCACAGCTACGACCCAACTCCTTCAAAGACTCAGAGAAGGATGTCAACTCTTGTTCTTCCTTGAGCGCCTCAAATGGCGCTATGGTTGGAAAACTCCTCTCCTCAACAGAATTTGCCGTTTCCTCCGACTCCCCCTCATCTGTCCAGACATCGCTGTCCTCAGTTTTCAGTTTCTTGTCTTCCAGTATTGAATGAGGGGAGGATTTCTGAGGCGGGACAGCAGGACTGAATGGTGGACTTGTTGAATCTGATGTGGGAGAGCTGCCTTGCTGCTGTCGGCAGATATCCGGACCCAGTGATAGCGAGGAGGAGTATTTCAAACCAACCAGTGCTGATGGGGGTGGTCTTCCAAAAGGCCCACCTCTGTAGGTATACTTCTGGCTCTCAGAGACCATCTCTGGAGACCTGAACATGCTGTTCAACCCGGTCTGGTGGAGATGGGGTCTTTGGGGCGGTGGAGAACATGACGGCGCCTCAGAGTCCTCTTCAGATTCCTCATCAGCCTCACTTTTGGTCTGCTCAGGAAGGCCATAAAGTTTAGCCAGGTCACTGTGGCGATAATTTGTGTTCCCTACTCCCATTCCTGTATCCACAGCTGGCTTAGTGCTGACAGGTACATTCAGGGAAGCTTTGAGGAAGTCCTCATCCTCCTCCAGCGAGGAGGTTCGACTGCAGGGAGATGCCAGAGAGCCTTGGCGGCTGAGCACAGGGGGGCTGGCGTTTGATCCAAAATCCTCCGTATTGGGTTGCTTCGTGGCAGGAATCAGATCTGGGGCACACAGGTAGTTCTTAACAGGATCAGCACTGGGGGTAAAGCTGTGCAGGAGACCAGAAGGAAAGGACTTCTCACTCTTGTACAACTCCTCCTCCTTTTTGATGGATTCATCCAGCATTGCCATTATGTTAGCCAGCCCATCCGGGAGCATTGTGGGTAATTCAGAGGGCTCCTCCTCAAACTGGGCACCATCCGAGGCGACTCTGCCCTCTGTTGCCCGATTGTTGTAGAATTCCTTGGTGGAGGAAACAGGCGGTGGTTGAAGGTTTTCCCTTGACAGAGCCTGGTAGAGTTTGGGGGGCTCTCGGAGCGCCGCGATAGGCAGAGGGTGTTGGGCGCAGTCTCTGTCCCTGCCTGAGTCTTTGGATTGGTTAGGTGCTGCTTGCATTGCTGGGGGTTTATTGGGGTATATCGGCTGGTTCATTCCTGAGGTATTATGTGTAGATGAGGGGATGAACGCCGCTCCGCCGCTGTTGCTCCACATCTCCCGCTGCCGCTGCTTTTCTCGGGCGTACTCCGTCTGAGGAGTGAGGGGAGGTGGTCTCAGTCTTTCTGTAAGAGTGCTGGGTGTCTGGTTGGTCTGACTGGTAGGTAAACCTCCACGACTAAGCCAGGGGTAGGGGGGAGAAGCCTGGGAGGTCGGGGTTAGTGCACCTGAAGGAGGTGCGGGAACAGAGGAGAGGGGAGGAGGTGGGGGCACCACAGAGCTGTTACCAGAGAGGAGTCTTTCCAGATTCTCAATGGCGGTCTGCTCTTTTCCCTTTGCACTGCACAGTTTTTCCTCCTTCCTCTTTTCTTCCTCTCTCCTCTCAAACTCTATTCTTTTATTCTCCTCTTCCCTCTCAAGTTCTCTCCTCTTTCTTTCCTGTCTCTCTGCTTCCCTCCTCTTTCTCTCCTCCTCTTGCTTCTCCCGCTCCTTCCTCTTCCTCTCCCGCTCCTTGTTCTCCCATTCCATTTTCTTCTTCTCAGCCTCTTGTCTCTCCCATTCTCTTCTTTTCCTTTCCTTCTCCATTTCCCTCTTCCTTTCCTCCTCCTGCTTCCTCTGTTGCTCCTGCTCCTGTTTCAGCCTCCTCTCTTCCTCTTGTTTCTCCATCTCTCTCTTTTTTCTCTCCTCATTCCTCTTTTCCTGCTCTTTCCTCTTCCTCTCCTCGTCCAACGCTCTTCTCATCTCCCACTCTCTCTTTTGTCGCTCCTCTCTCAGTTTTCTCTCCTGCTCCTCCCTTTCCCTCTTCCGTCTCTCCTCGGCTTGCATGTGTCCCTTCAGCTCGGCATCAAGCTTGTCAAGAACGTCTCCGATGGACTGAGAGACGGGGGCTGGCGGGGTAGGGTACGCGTGTGTTGGGGCAGGGTGGGACTGATGCTGCAGTCTGGAGGACAGAGCAGGACTGGGCGGTGGAGGAGGACCGCCGACAGAAGCTGGACCAAAAGCAGTAGGAGAGCTAGGAGGCTGATTTGAACCCCTGCTAGTAATGACACTGTCTGCTGCCCTCTGGTACCCTGAGAACAAAGAAGATGAAGAAAATGGAGGATTGTGCTCCAGTTTAGCCTGAGTGTAGTACGACATCTTATCCTTGGTGAGCTGGGGTTCGTGCAGCTCCTGTTGGTGAGACTGGCCTCTCTGACGGCCTCCCTCAAGCAAAGCGTCCATCTGAGATTTGGCGCTGGTGGAGTTTGGGGGCTTTGGCTCTATTATTCTAGGCCAACTGGTGTTGCTGCCACTGTTTACAGAGCCACCAGCAGCGGGCGAGGCATTCCCAGTGGAGATGCCAGCAATGGTAACGCCGTTAGAGCTGCTGTTGCCATAGCGGCCGACGGTGCAGGAGTTTAGGGACATGGGGAGATTGCATGTAATGACTGGCATTCGGGTGGAGTTGGTCGGAGGCAGAGGAGGACTGTTGTTATGGTGATGATGCTGGGATGGATCTGGAAGCCGACTGTCTACAACCCGATTGTGGGTCTTCTGGGGGTGAGGTAGCAGACTTGGAGGTGCGTAGGCCCCCGGCTCCTGACGAAAAACAAAATCAGCGAGTCGATTAAAAACCTTCTACCTGCTGCTTTAGAGGAGACATGGGAGTATACTCACCAGGGAGTGTCTGCTCGGGTATCTCCAAGCCTCATGGGGACCACTTTGCAGTTGCTGAGGTACTGAGGTGCTGCTGGCTGGAGGAGGGGGTGGGGGTGGAGGAGCACCCTGGTGTCCCAGCCCCGGGTGAGCCTGGAGGTGGCTATAAGGCACACTGCTGCTGCTGTTTTTGTTGCTGGTAGCAGAAGCGCTTGCTGGTGACGACTGGGCTTTTAGGTGGTGATCTCCATCTCCCCTGGTAGGAGTAGTTGGCGTATGGCTCCTGCCTTGGCCCCCCATGACAGGGCTCCTCTGTTTGTGAAGACCATGAGGCTCCACAGCCTGGCAGGATGAGGCCAGTTCCAGTTTGGGGCTGGGACTTGGGTAGGAGGAATGTGGGGAATGATGATTTACAGCCTGAGGTTGTGTCATGTCTCTCTGGATGTGAGGAGCACAGCCTTGGTTGTAGCTTCCTGGAGAAGAGTGTGATGGAGGTGAGTGGTTGGAAGGGCTGGAGGAGTTAGGAGAGGACTTGGTGATGTAGCTGGCCATCCCTCGTTTGTTTTCCTGTAAAGCCACAAAGGAAAAGAATGGATGTAACCCCTAATCCACGTAACATTAGACATCATCATCAGTACATCTTTATGCAACCACCGGAGGTCTCGCCACTCACTGCAGCGATAAAATATGAATCTATGATCAGCATCATTGTGGGTGAGTAATACTTTTGTTGCGGTTCGCACCTGAAACTCCTGTGATTGTGTGTTCTTGTGGTCAGACGTTTGCGGTTGCCAGAGACCACCATTGTCCTTGTGAATGGGGTTCCAGAAAGCTGGCTTTGGGGGGGCATGTTGGGCCGACGGGGGCTGCTGAGTCAGCAGCGACGACTGGCCAAGGCCAGAGAAGCGCTGCAGCCCAGGGTGAGATCCCTGAACAGGAAATGGGATAAGGGTTAGGTTTAAGTTTTACAACAGCAATGACATCATCAAAAGGGCAGAGGTTTACCTGATCCAAACTCTTTTTCCTCTTGCTGGGGCTGGGACAGTCTTCCATGGCAGCGTGGGTGGGTACGTGCAGCGTCGGTAGAGGAGTGTGTTGAATCACAGAGTGTTCCCCAAGAGGAGGGCCGGGTCTCTTCAAGTGACCCCCTGGCATCTTCCCTGGGTATCCCCTCTGCTGTGGACAGAAATGAAACGATCCGTCTTGTCTTCAGTCTCAGCTCAATTCTTTTGTGTAGAAATCCAGAGGCGGCTCGGGGACGGCCCCTTAGATTTGTCTCATCAGTCTTGTTGAATCACAAATGACAGTCTGAACACGGACCTGTCTATTTGGGTGAGGAAATGAGGTCACAGCCAATTAGAAACTCATACCTGGTGCACCTGAGCCCGCATGTCATCTCCCAGCAGCGGTGGACCCCGGGGAACATGGTGATCCTGAACACCCCCCCACCCCCAAACCAAACAGAGGAACGGTGAACAGCTTGTTCTTTCTCCAGTCTAATCATGAATCAGATGTAGCTCATCTCACCTTCAGCAGAGCGTTTGGTCTGTTAGGATGAAGATGTGGGTTAAGGAGAGGCCCGCCGCTGCCCGCGTATCCACCGTTATGGAAACGCAGTGCGGGCTCGTTGGACAGGGGTAGCACATGGTGGCCTTGAAGGGGGAGGTGGGAATTATACTGCTTCTCCAGCTGATCCCATGCTCTATGAGGAGGAGGATGATGAAGATGATGATGGTGTGGGGGAGGTCTCTGGTGCTCCCTCTGCATCCCTGGAAACATTGCTTGTGGGAAATCAAGCTTTTCAGCTCCTCTCATCGACCTGGACGGTAAAGGTTAAACATTAGTGCAACAAAACCAAACCGTCACACGGCAGCAGCGTCTTCTGCACAGCTTACCCATTACTCAAGTATTTACTGTGGGGGTTCAATCCACCTGTCGGCCCAGGAGGTAGATTAGGAAGTAGCTGGTGTTGGGTCATCGCAGGTGAACACCTGGTGATGAAACAGGCGCCGTTCTTTAGTGAGTCAAAGAACAGAGCAATAAAGCACTTTCTTTGAAGAACTGTGTATGGGTCGTCATGGTTACAAACCTGGCAGATGGCTGCCAGGCACGGCCGCTCATGGGAGGCCATGGCCCCCGGTTGAGTCCGTCCAGAGGGAATGAATCCCGTGTGCCTCGCCCGCCTAACGGATCTACTGTGTGATGCATCCAGCCTGGGAATTGCACACAATCGCATCATTAACACACACAGAGCAAAGAAACTCACAATGCTAGGTTGTTTCCTAAACGAGATGCTGGCTTAAAGAGGTCTGACTTAAAACAACGTACTCACTGGATTAGCTGTATCAGTGAAGCCCTCCACTGCAGCACAGAGAGGGCCTCACTCCAACACTGAGAATATCTGCACCGTCTGCTTTCTGCACCAAGAGTCTAAAAGCCAACCGGCTGCAGAGAAAGCAGAAAGAAGAGTCTGTGTGAGAGCCAGACAGACACTCATTGAGAAGTCAACCGTTGCCACCGGGTTCTCCATTATGTAGGCTAGTTAGAGCGAGTGCATGAGTGTTACTACAGAAGGAGGGTGGCGTGAGTGGGATGCAGGGCAGTGGATGCCTACGTGATTCTTTTAGTCTCCCAAGAAACTTGAGTTCATTTGCCGGGTTTGGCCAGTAGGGGGCATCAGCATTATAAACGGCACAGAATGGGATTATTTGTGAGGCCCAGATGGCTCAGTGGGGGGGCTCACCTATGAGAACAGAGCTGTTGTTACTGTAATCCAGAGCATGGGCCTCCTGATAGCAGGAGACAGAAGGAGAGACCAGAGTGAGAAGCTTGGTCACGTGCCAAGTGTGTGCAGCGCTGGATGTGATCCAAGTGTGCAAGCTGCACATTTGTGTCAGTTTTAGTGCAGGAGAGGAAAAAACTGCTCTCTCTTTAAAGTAGATGATTATGTGTGTATGAAGTGTGTGTGTATGAAGTGTGTGTGTGTGTGTGTGTGTGTGTGTGTGCGCGCCCAGTGTAAGGTTTAATCTCATTACAGCAGGCGTGATGCAGAGGGAGGGGAGTGACAGAAGGCCTGAGCAGGATGGAAGGATAGATTAAGGAGTGGAGAGTGGGAGCAGTGCCATGAAAACACCTTCACACACACACACACACACACACACACACACACACACACACACACACACACACACACACACACACACACACACACACACACACACGAGAACGGAGGAGGAATAACTCAGCTTGTTTTCCGTTACACCACAAGAAAAAAAAGACAGATTTCACCAGAAGCAGACAGCGCACAGATGCAGAGATAGAGCTGCATGTGTCAGAGCCTAGAGCTGATCCAGCACAAACAGTTTTAAATAAAACCGCCCTAAACCCACTGCAATAATTCCAACCAGGTAGTTTCACCAAACCGAAGCTCCAAAGGTGCAACAAAAAGTCCAGCAGAACCACGGAGCGAGGAACATCCACCAGACAGAAGTTATGATTCCCTCCTCTTCCACACATCTTCCCAAATTAGCTTCAACATACACAGGGGATCCTCCCACCGGCTCCGCTTCTCCTCATCTCCCTCCTCCCTCCAACTCTGGATGTCTCTCTATTTAAAGCCCAGCTGTGGGTATTTTAAATGCTGTCCCGCGACACACAAACACCCACCTCACAGGAATCAGCCTCTACCAGGCGCTGCTGCGGTGTGAAGATAGACCGGCGTTAGCTGTCAAACACAAACATGCCCTGCGCTGCACTCACCTTTCAGAGTAGCACCAAGTTATCGATTCACAGCTGTGTTAAGTCTCGGCTTCTGCTGCCAATCATCCCTCTGAAGTCTCCCCCGTCCTGAAAAACAAAGAGAAGCTTTGTTGTCCGGTTGTCAAAAAAACAACATGGGGTCAGAGTAAACACAATACTCGAGAGTTAAAGCCTTAAAGCCATTCAGTCAGAGCTAAAGGTGATCTTCTACCCTGCTGACTTTAGAGACCATGTGTCATCACCATCAGCACTACACCCCCCGGTTTTCAGAGCAACGTGGAAAACCCACGGCAAGGCGAGGGGGTGTCACAATGGGAGCCGAGTCTCTTATTCTCTTCTCACACACAGACACAATGGTGACACTGACTGTGCAGCTTAACCGACGCAAAGAAACCCGATCACCGTCTAGCAGGAAGAGCTGAGAGGGACCAGTCCAAAAAGACCAAACTAGTGAGTGCACACGGGGGCTTGGTGGCGAGGCTGTAATTACCACTTTATAGAGGGTGTGTGTTTATGTCCGTTTCAACCAAACAGTCTCCTCCAGTAGCAGTACTGGCCATGTCTCTGCTCCCAGTAGCAGCAGAGAGTGAGAACGTCCGACACCAGAGACGGACCGTTACATTCCAGCTCTGGTTCTGAAAATCGGTCTGCACCGCAGCCGCACCACCCACAGGGGAGCCAGTGAGAGTGATTCTGCGTGTGCATTTTTTGGGAACTCCCCCAACCAATGAGTCAGCATTGTGGAAAAGGGCTTACCCGCAAGCCTTAAACTCCGCCCCCTTGGGACACCACCTACAGTCAGGTGACCGTAGGCATGTTTCTGCATCTCTGCTGATGCTGCGGCAGGAGGGACTTTTTTTTTTGAATTAAATGATGTAATTTCTGCTCTACTCGCAGTTGGTAACATCCGTGTTTGAAAACACAAACAGGATGTGACAAAGTCTGAAGGGGCGGGGCTTCAAGACTCACCGAAGAAATCAGAAAACCACAGATCAAAGAGAAATGATTGACGCCTTCAACATTCGATCGCTCCTTCTGTTAGAATGCCACAACTTTTACTACCGCGACTCAGAGCGCTTTCACTTTGACCTCATCAGAACCACAACTAGTCATCAGCACATCTTATTGTTCACGCTCCAATGAGAAAATAAAAAACACATTCTCTGAAAATTCCCACGGCCAACTCGATCAAGTGAAATCCCCCCATATGACCCCAGACATTAAAGAGCAGTTTCTGTCAACTCCCTCGCTGTCAGAGTCACGAGTTATTCCCCTACAACAGCAGCAGTCAGCTGGCGAGGGAAGAGGCAATGCACCGTGTCATTTACTGGAACCAAGAAGTCCAGCAGAAATGTGCTACATTTAAAAACATCTTCAGTGACTCCACATGACTCAAGAGCCTTGGAGGTTTCCTACAAAAGGGCCCAACTGGCAGGAAGCAGGAGGGAACAAATTTGGATTCATGGAGTTATTGGCTTTCAACCACTATCCTGAGATGAACCTAACCCAGACCAGAACACGAGGGAAGCAGGCAGTAACGCCACACACTGTAAAAAATACCCATCTGATCCTAATTTTATCCCTGGATGTGATTCAACAGTCGGTGTGTGGACTTGAGATACTGCTCTACAATAGGAAGGGCAGCAATGACTACGGATAGAGATCTTTAAGATGTTAAGACTGAGCGGAATCAGATCCAACTGAGATGAAAGAGAAGGGATCTGAATGGCCGAATAAACGTGCACGACCTCCTTCTGTCTGCTTTTGTCTTTGTGCCGTCCTCCCTCATGCTTTATTCTCCATTTGGTCATTACATAATCAGTCCCAGATAGATATTGTGTTCTGGAGGAACCAGGCTACCACCCACAAACACACACACACACACACACACACACACACAGAGGAAGAGCCAGCCCCTACATCCGTCCTCCCCCGCCTTGTTGATTCTCTCCCTGCATGTGTGTGCGTGGACAAACGTCAGCACTGCCTTTCCCAGTTGATGAGGGCTAACTTCATCACGTCTTCTTTCTTAAACACACACACACCAGAAGATGCTGCTCCAAGTGGGATGCGCAGGACAAATGAGGACACAGCAGCCTGAGTCTTCCTCAATAGGGAACAGATTGGAGCTAATGCTTCTGTTAGCTTTTAAAAAAAATGACTGCTGTTTGATGGGTTTTATGAACAGTGTACTTTTATACGTGGGGCATTCCCACATCAGGGTAAACAGGAAGCCCAGGGCTGAATGGTTTGTTACAGTCACAGAACAGCTAAGAGTGCAGGAGGTCAGTCACGTTTGTTGTTTGGACCAGCAGCCACATGAACCACTGATTATAAGGCTGTTTTGGTTAACGACCAACAACAGATGAAAAAGACCTAAGAATAGATTGGTGACTTGTCCAGGGTGTCCCACGCCATTCGCCCAGTTACTGCTGGAGACGGATACCAGCTCTGCAAGCCCTTTAAGCCTAGTTTATACTTCTCTGTCTGCAGAGGTGTTACGACACGCAACATCCAGGCTTGCAAGGACGAACGGTGTAGAGCCCAACTGGTTTTGGCTGTTGGTGGTCAGCGCAGTGGTGTGTGTGTGGTGTTGTTACACTTGAAAGCAACTGCTATGTCTTTCAAATGGATGTACCAACAACAGTGCATGAGGAGGAAGTAGGGGGGGATTGGCAGGAAAACAAAACGATGGTGTGGGGGTGGGGAGGTTTACTGTCAGTTGTTTTGCCACCATGACATCTGGGCTGTGACTGACAACACACAACTGGGTTAGTGGGCTGCGTCTTTTTCAGGGTTGGACATAGACTCATGCAGAGATGTTAAAGAGAAGGGGAAGTGAACTCAGACAGCAGAGGAAACCATCGTCCATAACGCAGGAAGTAGGCCTCTCTCACGGGGCAACAAAGGCAAGAAAAAGTGAGGCACTGAGGAGGAGCTTAAAGAGCAAGGCTTCCTGTTGAAATAAACTTTGTGTTGACTTAGTCATATGATTCTTAAGTTAGAGTAACACAGTCTAAAAACAGCTGAATGTGACCTTGTTTCACGCATGGTTCCTGAAATAAACCTGAGACTCATATTGGGCGAACAGCACGTGTGCCAAAAGGCCATGACTCACTCAGCAAAAACAAGACAGATCACAGCGTTAGGAGCTGCCGACTCGCCTCGCCTCCTGGTTTTACATGCTAGCCCTCTTTTTGGCTTCTGGTAAGAGTGAGCGACCAACCACAGAATGAGTGTGAAACACTGCTTAAATGGAAATTTCACTTTTCTTTTACAACTTCAGTACCTGGAACACAAGGGTGAATGACTCAACGTCTTGCTCAGTGCAAGTAAAACTTATTAATCCAGACAAACCTGAAATCTGAGAGGACGTGGGCGTTTATTAACAACCGACGGTGGCTTCTGTGATCCTCTCTAGTCTCGATTTCAACACATGAGCAACCTCAAAAGCCCCTGAACTTTCCATTCCGCGTCGTTTCTGGCAGCTTGTTTTCACAAACAAATCTCAGAAAAACTCGGGAGAAAACGCTCCCACCTCTCACTGGAAAACTGGTGAAAACCCCCCGCCCTCACTCCACCATCTGTCTCCAGGTGCTTCACATCCTCTCCGTCTCTGAGAAAAGGACTGAACATGATGAGAAACTGTTGAAAAGAGTTGCCATGGGAACAAGCAGCGTCTTTACCAATGATTAAAAAATGAAGACAAAAAAAAAAGACAGAGGAAGGACTTCATCGGTTTTCTGTGAAGTCTTTATGATCAACATGTTTACTGCCAGACCAGACAACCACACACACACACACAATTTGCCCCATCAGCAGGCTGCGTGTGAGACAAAATAAAAATAACAGGGACATGTCTGCCTGTGGGAGAGCTTTATTGCAGCTAAAGACAGCACGACTACAGATGGTCAGAGTGTTGCCGCTTCTACACAAAGTTGCTCAGATAAATGATCGTTTACGCCACTATCGTCCATAGAAGCAGCTGTGACGCAGGCAAAGCTTCTTTGTTGCGGCAGCACATTTGGTTGTGAACACATCTAAGGGTCTGTTTAGAGATTCCTCAAATACCAACACAGCAGATTCTGCAGGAATATTGTGCCGTAATCTGCCACGGGTGGAGTTTTTATCCAACCGGTGTGGTTGTAATGGGTAAAATAAAAACAACAGAAGCTAGGGTGAGGTGAGGTAAGGAAGGAAGCAAATTCTTTCCGGGGGGGGGGGGGGGGGGTTTGTAGCTTTTGTTATGAATCGCATTCAATTTTCCACCATGGCATCATCAGTGGAAAAGAGCCAGAGATAACAGAGTGAAGGAAAACTTTCTTCTCACTTTCACTCGGCTTAGCTAGCAGAATAGAAACAGACCTTTCCTCTCCTCACCAAGGCTGTTGTGTTTAGATTAGCTTGTTTTCTCAGCTTGTGGGTTCACGGGGATCTCTGCAGACTGCCTCCTTTTCTCCTGATACACAGTTTCAAAACAACAAAGAGCAGGAGAGCAGCTCGGACTCCAACGACAGCAGAAACCACGCATCCATACAAGTTGTGTCCAGTTAGTCTTTGGAAATGTTCTAACTTTTCTGTGCAGATCTGTTGTGTCTTTTACTTTTTTGTCTGGTCCACCTAACACGGATTAAAATTCTAGTAAACTGTCCACCATATGGTGAACAATATCCACAGCAGTTAAAATGTCCTGAAACCCACGTTAAAGAGGCCTGGATCCACACCTGGCCATCTCACGTGGAATAGTGGAATTCCACACTTAGCTGACTGGGGTTTTTCACCCTCATCGTGTACCAAATGAATACAAAACCTCTACCATGACATTCTCCAATGCTAGATCTACTCTAATGTGGAAGGGAACTAAAAACACTGTTTAAATGCTGACATTGAGGCGATGGGAAAATCCACATTTGGTGCCCAAAAATTATGCCAGACCTTGTGCTTTAACTCCTGACTTATCAGATCGCTGTCACTGCCTTCCCTTTTCCATTTTCTGTTTTGTTAGAAACAACACAGATTACTGGAAAAGCTGCAACTCAAATGTCACATGACACTAGCAAATCATCACGACATCCACCCAGTCACTT